TGGTTGTTTGTGGACGGTTCATGGGAGTCGACAGGTCGACCCTTGCGACGTGGGCTCTTAAATCTGAGGTTGGGTATCTCGGATGGAAGGTACGCCAGACAGACTGAGCTACGGCATCTTAAGAACTTGATTTGCTAGGTTTGGTGTAAGAGGTTAAGATACTGGTTTGGAAACGAACAGGTGGTGAGTTCTAGTCCTGTCTTAAGACATGAAAGCCAGCTGGGTGACTTTGGACTGATCACTAGGAGACTGTGAGTTCTAGTCCCACCTTAGACTTTAAAGCCAGCTGGTTGACTTTGGACCGATCACTAGGAGACTGTGAGTTCTAGTCCCACCTTAGACATTAAAGCCAATCAAGTGATTTTGGGCCAATCACTAGGAGACTGTGAGTTCTAGTCCCACCTTAGGTGTGAAAGCTGGCTGGGTGATTTTAGGCCAATTACTAGATTGTGAGTTCTAGTCCCACCTTAGGCATGAAAGTCTGCTGGGTGTCTTTGGCCAATTACTAAGAGACAGTGAATTCTAGTCCCACCTTAAGCATGAAAGCTGGGTGGGTGACTTTGGGCCAATTACTAGGAGACAGTGAGTTCTAGTCCCGCCTTAAGCATGAAAGCTGGCTGGGTGATTTTAGGCCAATTACCAGATTGTGAATTCTAGTTCTCTTGTCTTAGACACAAAAGCACTTGAGTGACTTTGGGCCAATCAGGAGGAGATGGTGAGTTCTAGTCCCTAGTTAGATGATAAATGATAGAGAGATGATAGACAGAGAGAGAGGGAGGGAGGGAGAGAAAGGGGCAGAGAGAGAGAGAGAAGAGAGAGAGAGAGAGAAAGAGAGAGAGGAAAATGCTTCCAATCTTCCTTTTGGTAATTATACATACAAATCAAATCAAGTGTCTCGCTCTAAGACTACATCATAAAATCCTCTTCTGTAAGTCACAAAATCATCATCTTTTTTTACACAAAATGTCGATCAGGGATTTCCAGTCATTGATAAAAACTCAATAATGACCTCTCTCTAATCCGAGAGGTCAGTTTGTCCAGCTCAGTAAGTTCTGTCAGTCTCATACACCCCAGTTCCTCCGTGGTGGGGAATACCAATTTCCCCCACTTTTTGTGCATTTTCCATCTGGGCTTTTAACTGCTTTCCCCCCCCCTCTCTCCTTATTTGCTCTCCTTTCCCATTTTAGAACCAGGAGATAAATATTAACATCTCTGGATGCCGTCCACAGTAATTTTGCTTTTCCAGCTGCTCCATTCATCGTTAGGATTATTTGGGATTAATCACAATGTTGGCGGATCTTCAGAAAATGATTTTCGGCTACGCGGAAATGAGCCGGACTTTCAGCCCGGCTGATGACACGGAAAGTGACTTGCTGACCACGTGCAGGGATGACCTTAAGTAGCGGTGAGCAAGGCCTTTTTGCACACTGTCTAGCATCGCGTCACACAATCCCTTGTTCAGAGACCCTAGTTGTGAATCCCGGGATAAAGAACAGAAATGGAGAAAAAAGGTAGATTAGCATGATGTTACCTACTTTGGGTAATGAAATGCCTCCTCCTCCTCCCTCCCTTCTCCTTTGCAAATTCCATTCCTTTCTAGCACTGATGCTGTTACCTAGTTGGGTAATGAAATGCCTGCAAGAAAATTGATTATTTGTACCCTATGACTATCATTAAGTGTTGTACCTTATGATTCTTGATGAACGTATCTTTTCTTTTATGTACACTGAGAGCGTGTGCACCAAAGACAAATTCCTTGTGTGTCTAATCACACCTGGCCAATACAATTCTCTTCTCTTCTCTTCTCTTCTCTTCTCTTCTCTTCTCTTCTCTTTCTCTTCTCTTCTCTTCTCTTCTCTTCTCTTCTCTCCTCTCTTCTCTTCTCCTGTCTCTCCTCTCCCTCCCTCTTCTCTTCTCTTCTCTTCTCTTCTCTTCTCTTCTCTTCTCTTCTCTCTTCTCTTCTCCTCTCCTCTCCTCTCCCCTCCCTCTCTCTTCTCCTCTCCCCTCCCTTCCCCTCTCTTCTCCCCTCCCCTCCCTTCCCCTCTCTTCTTCTCTTCTCCTCTCCCCTCCCCTCCCTCTCTCCTCTCCTCTCTTCTCCTCTCCCCTCCCCTCCCTTCCCCTCTCCTCTTCTCCTCTCCCTTCCCTTCCCCTCTCCTCTTCCCTTCCCTTCTCTCCTCTTCTTTTCTCCTGTCCTGTCCTGTCCTGTCCTGTCCTGTCCTGTCCTGTCCTATCCTGTCCTATCCTATCCTATCCTACAATCCTATCTCTTCTTCCTTCCTTCTCCTTCACAAATCCCAGCCCTTTCTAGCACTGTTGATATTACCTAGTTGGGTAATGAAATGTCTACAAGAAAGCAGCCAAGCTCAGAGAGCGTCAAGGCCCCATCAATCCTCCTCCTCCTTTCTCCTTCGTAAATCCCAGCCCTTTCTAGCGCTGTTGATATTACCTAGTTGGGTAATGTAATGCCTCCTCCCTCCTCCTCCTCCTCCCCCTCCCCCCTCCTCCTTCACAAATTCCAATCCTTTCTAGCACTGATGCTGTTACCTGGTTGGGTAATGAGACGTCTGCAAGAAAAAACAGCCAAGCTCAGGGAGCATCAAACACCCTTCAAAAGTAGATTTTGGGACGCAGGAAGAAACTAACCTAACTGACCCCCCCGGGGATTACAATGCTGTGGTTTCACACACAGATACAAAGGGTGGAAGACAATTCTGCAACCTGGCAATTCCCCCCCCCGGTGGATAAGGGGGGGGGGGAACCCCCCCCCCCATACCCTTAACAATTTCTCAGGTCAGGAATCTGAGAAATTTCATCCGTTTTTTTTCTCCTCCTTCCTCCGCTGCTTCGTGATTGCAAGGAAGTGGAACTGCAAACATGAAGAGACCCAGCTGTCCGTTCCGACGCAGGCGAGCTATTCTTTTCCCTAACATTCAGATAATCAAGGAAGGTGACAGTCAGAAAAGTTCAGCTCCGATTGTAACCGGAGAAGGAACGTAGCGAGAAAAGACACCGTTTCCACCCCTTGTCCCAAACTAGAAAGACTTAATTTCACCTTGTCTGTTTTTATTATCCTTCGCGCAGTTACGTAACCGGAACAAACACACATTATAATAAATTCCAAGTGATTACGTATGATATATATGTATATGTATATGTATATGTATATGTATATGTATATGTGTATGTGTATGTGTATGTCTGTCTGTCTGTCTCTTTAGCCAGGTTCTTCCTACGTAAACCAAGATTTTTATGCAGCCCTAGTTCAGTGAAATCACAATCCACTAATTTCTAGGCTTTTTTCAGGCAGCCAGCAAGCACCCTGCTGCCCATTGGGAGACTAAGGAGACTAAGATAGATCTATTTCGGACTTATTAGTTCTCATCAGTTAGCCACACCCTCATCCCATGTATCCTCCCTGTAAAGGTACAGTATTTGTTTTCTTTTCTTTCTTTTTTTCGTAGGCCTTTAGGTGTATTTCTCTTTAGCCAGGTTCTTCCTAAGTAAACCAACGTAAACCTACGTAACTGATGAGGACTAATAAGTCCGAAATAGATCTATCTTAGTTTCCTTAGTCTCTCAATGGGCAGCAGGGTGCTTGCTGGCTGCCTGAAAAAAGCCTAGAAACTAGTGGATTGTGATTTCACTGAACTAGGGCTGCATAAAAATCTTGGTTTACGTAGGAAGAACCTGGCTAAAGAGAAATACGCATAAAGGCCTACGAAAAGAAAAGAAATATATATATATCCCTTTTAGGGATATGTTGTTCACAATTACACGGGAAGAAACCCGAAATATTAACTGTACATACACACACACACACACACACACACACACACACACATATATATATAGATATATATATAGAGAGAGAGAGAGGGAGAGGGAGAGAGAGAGAGAGAGAGGGAGAGAGAGAGGGAGATATGCATCATTTTGTACGATTTAGGGACGGAATAATCCTATTCTCTTCGTTTTTTCCTCCCACCGATTGGCAAGTTGGAAGGCAGGCCAGAGTTGCCATCTTGCCTTTTTTGACCTCTCTGCCCTCATCCCTGAAAGGGGCCGCTGGATCACGGAAGGAACCGGAAGAAACCAAAGGCATAGTTCTCTTGGAAGTTTTTTTAAGAGAAAGAAGCTTTTAAAGGCTCAGTATGTGCCCGTAAGATACATATATTATTTTACATTAAAATAAAAATAACTTTGGCCAAATCGCACTTGCCTGACCCAAATATAAGCTTGTCAAAATTACGTTTCTGAATTTACAGGTTCTTCGCGTTGGAAAAAAAAATGATTTCATGTCCTTAACTTGCTGCTTGAAAGTGTTCTGCCCCAGCTACGGACCCCAAAAAACGCAGCACACACAAAGTCTGTACAAACCTTAGTTTACTAAATTAAATCAGCCTTTTTCAAACAAAGGCTGTTAATTAACTTTCTTAACAGCCTGCAAGAATCCAAAGAATAAATAATCGTAATCTTACTATGGTTGGCAGAAAGCCCAGAAGCAATTTGCAGGAAGCTGATAAGAGAACTAAGATCCAGACGCGAAGGAGAGTGAACAAAGTTGTTCCCTGCAAATTACTTCAGTCGGCGTTCCTCCTTAAATAGGCTAAGGGAGTGGCCAATTAGCCCCAAGCCTTACTCTCGAGGAGACCTCCTCCTGAGGAGCCACTCCTGCCTTTTGGCAGCTCTGCGCGCCCGTGCATCGAGAAGAGGCTGCTCCTCTTCTTCCTCTTCACTTATGGAAGCTTCTGGAGGTTCTGAAGGCCCTGGCTGAATCCCCGCCTCTGGCACTACATCTTCTCCAGCCTCCTCATTGTCCGACTCGAGTGCTGGCTGGGAAACGGGGCTGGGTGCGATGAGTGACATCACCCACCTAGTCACATGACCCACCGGCCACCCCTACTCAACCAGAGAACCGGTTGTTAAGTTATTCAAGTCCCACCACTGTTTCCCCCCCACCCCCCACCTCCCCAATGGTAAATAAAAGAAGAAACACACTTGCAGGCGTTCAAAAATAGTTTATGAAAACACTTCTCTATAAGATTCTCCATCTTCCCTCAGTCAGGATAATGCACAGGAAGAACATTCCTGGCACCACCCAATTGTAAACATTGTGTAAATACCGTATATGCTACGCAACTTCAATGAAAGTACCCTGAGCTTATTCTCTGCTCTTTAAATATTTGATATAGCTAGGCTCTAAGGCAGAGGTCTTCAAACTTGGCAGCTTTAAGACTTGTGGATTTAAACAAGCCGATAGATATGACGCCAGAACTTTTCCTTCTGGGTATAGTAAGGGATAATTACAAAAAAGAAGAAATATATCATATGGTACACATACTAACGGCAGCGAGGTTGATATTCGCACAAAATTGGAAATGCAGAGAGAACCCACAGGAGGTAGAAATAACTAACAAAACATTGACCTGTGCAGAAATGGACAGGTTAACAATGGAGCTCAAAGACAAAGATGAATCGGAAATTTGTAACCTGGAATACATTTTATAAATGGCTAGAGAAAAGGAGGAATGTAGGGATAGAGAATTAGAAACCGAGTGAAGAAAAGGGGAGAAAAATAAATAAAATTAAATTAAGAAAGATTAGATAGGAATAAATTGGATTTGAATAGAGACGAAGGGAATATGCACGTAACTGAAGTGTGATTGAATGTACCAAAAGCATATATGGAATATGCATGATATTATATTGTAATACACACGAAAGAAAAAGTGTTAGAAAAGTATGTACCAGAGAAGTCGCACCAAGTCTAATGTTTTTAAATGGTATATTTAATAAAATTAATTAAATTAAATTTTAAAAAAAGACTTGTGGATTTCAACTATTTCAACTCCAGCTATGCTGGCTGGAGAATTTGGGGAATTGAAGTCCACAAGTCTTAAAGCTGCCAAGTTTGGGGACCCCTGATCTAAAGTTACTCACTTCAATTCGGTTCTGCCAACTGGAAAAATAAACCACGCCATACCAAGACTTGGCTGTCTACAAAACTTCAGATTCCCCAGAGTTTGCTCCATCCGTCTGAATCTGCAGAGGGACACGGCTCTAGGCCAGCGACTCTTAGTCCCCCCAAAATGGGGTGTAAATTCGGATTGTCCACGGCTCGCTGGTTGAGGTACGGAAGCTCCCAGGCCACTTCCTGGCAATGGGTCACTGTAAAGTACATGCTGAAAAAAAGAGAAGAGAAAAGAAAGGAAGCAATTTAATTGAAGCTCTGAAATGAATCCATTAAAAAAAGGTAGAAGAAAAAAAAAAGCAATTTGGATGAAGCCTGGAATGAAATCATTAAAAAAAAGACACACACTCACCCCAACAATGAGAATTTCAGATTAGTTTTAGCAAATTTTAAAGCCTGGCTGGCTCCGAATTGATCTCAAATTGAGTGATTTTTTTTTTCTTCTCCTGGCAACAGCCTGAATCAGTGGCTAAGTTTTTCTTGGTGAGGTTATTTGGAAGTGGTTTCATGCCTTCTTCGCTCTAAGGCAGCGAGAGAGGGACCTGCCCAAAGTCGCCCGGGGGTGGGGGGGTAGGTGGGGGCTGCTATGTGATTAACCCAGGACTCGAGCTCACGGTCTCCCAGTTTTTAGCCGGGAGGTGCCTTCACTAATACGCCGGCCTGGTTCTCTACGTTAACTAGTTTGCTAGCACTGACAGAGCAGGGGAGGGGAGGGCAAGGTGGAAGGAAGGGGATGGAGAGAGAAGGAAGGAAGGAAGGAAGGAAGGAAGGAAGGAAGGAAGGAAGGAAAGGAAGGAAGGAAGGAAGGAAGGAAGGAAGGAGAGAAGGGAGGGAGGGGTAAAGAAAAGTGATAAGAATGGGAAAGGAAGGAAGATGATGAGAAGGGAGGGAGGGGGAAGGAAAGTGATAAGAATGGGAAAGGAAGGAAGGAAGGAAGGAAGGAAGGAAGGAAAGTGATAAGAATGGGAAGGAAGGAAGGAAGGCAGACAAGGCAGGAAGGAAGGAAGGAAGGAAAGTGATAAGAATGGGAAAGGAAGGAAGGCAGACAGGTAGGAAGGAAGGAAGGAAAGAAGGAAGGAAGGAAAGTGATAAGAATGGGAAAGGAAGGAAGGAAGGAAAGTGATAAGAATGGGAAGGAAGGAAGGAAGGAAGGAAGGAAGGAAGAAGGAAGGAAGGAAGGAAAGTGATAAGAATGGGAAGGAAGGAAGGCAGACAGGCAGGAAGGAAGGAAGACGATGAGAAGGAAGGGAGGGGGGAAGGAAGGAAGGAAATGAGATATGGAGGAAGGGGGAAGGAAAGAATGGGAAAGGAAGGAAGGAAGGAAGGAAGATGAGAAGGGAGGGTGGAAGAAAAGTGATAAGAATGGGATGGATGGAAGGAAGGAAGGAAGGAAGGAAGGAAGGAAGGAAGGAAAAGGGGAAGGGACCAGACTTACAGTTTCTCACAGAATCCGAAAGGCCCTCATTTCCGATGGACTCAGCTTCCCACTGCGATTCCTTGATCTGCAAGGAAAAGAGATCCGGGCCAACTGACTTAAGAACTGAGCGCAGGCCTTCCCATTTTTCAGCTCCCGCGTTTTTCCTAGGCTTAAGGCTTCTGGCAAGCCATCCGTTACCATTGCACCTATTTTCCCAATCGCCTCCGCTCAAGGTTTTGAGCTTTGCCTCCTACCTTGCAGGGCAACAGAGGGCAGCTCTTCCTTCCTCCCTCCCTTCCCCCTCCCCAAATACCTTGATCTGTTCTTTAAGATACTCTGCTCGGCCCATCAGCGTCTGGATCTGCCAAGACAAACACAAACTCACGATTTAGCAATTTCCTTTTTAATTGACTGCTAATCCTTTTGAGAATTGGGACAGCAGGAAGGGCCCTTGAATTGTCATCCATCCATCAATCCTAAAGAATCAATCAATCAATCACTCAATCAATCAATCCAGAAGGACCTTATTGCTCCATCACTGGAGGTTTTTAAGGAGAGAGTGCACAGCCACTTGTCTGAGCAGGGGGTTGGACTAGAAGACCTCCAAGGTCCCTCCCAGCTCTATTCTGATTGTGTTTGAGCCACAATGTACCTCGGCGTGTAGCAATTCTCGTCTTCTTCCTGCAGGTTCCGCTGGATTTAGGGGGAAAAAAAAAAGAGGAAAAGGGTGTTTGCGGAGAGGACTAGCTTAGTTCCCCTTCCTCTGGTCCCTCAAGGGTTCTTCTTCTCTCCCCCTCCGCCTTTTACATCTCCCAGGGTCCTAGACGCTAAAATCAAGTTTGACCTCACTGATAAGCCAGTTTGCAGGAGAAGGGACCACTGGCCACCTCTAGCCATTTTCTCCTGACCTCCAGCCTCATCCTGGCATCACACGGCAAACCTGTCACTCACCAGCCAGCATCAGCAGCAATTCGCCCAAGCTCTGCTGATACAACTCCAGTGTTTCACTATCCTCCTTTCCTTCTTCTTCCTAGAGAGAGAGAGACAGACAGACAGAGAGACAGAGAAAGAGAGAGAGACAGACAGAGAGAGAGACAGAGACAGAAAGAGACAGACAGACAGAGACAGACAGACAGAGACACAGAGATGGAGAAAGAGACAGACAGACACACACACACACAGAGACAGAGACAGACAGAGAGACACGGAGACAGAGAGAGACAGAGAGAGAGAGACACAGAGAGAGAGACACAGAGAGAGAGAGACGGAGACAGAGAGGGACGGAGAGACATAGAGACGGAGAGAGACAGACAGACAGAGAGACAGACACAGAGAGACACGGAAATGGAGAGAGAGAGACAGAGAGAGACAGAGAGAGAGAAAGATGGAGACAGAGAGAGACAGAGAGAGAGAAAGATGGAGACAGAGAGAGAGAGAGAGAGGGAGAGACGGAGACAGAGAGAGAGAGAGAGAGAGAGAGAAGAGAGGGAGAGAGGGAGAGATGGAGACAGAGAGAGAGAGAGAGAGAGCGCTGAATCCCTGATGGACGAAGGACTTCTTTTAAGCATCCCATCACAGGGTGATCCCCCAAATCAGAAGGAGAACCCTAACGCGCCTTGTTATAAGGCATCAGGTTTCATGAATTATAGCTTGCTCTGGTGAAGTGAAGGTAGTCCTTGACTTATGATAATCTGTTTAGCAACTTGTATAGAAATCATGGGGGTCCTTGGCGTTCTTGGAGCTTGGTGGTTTTCTTGCAGACGTTTCATTACCCAATTAGGTAACATCATTGGTATTAGAAGGGAGTGGGATTTGTGGAGGAGGAGGAGGAGGAGAAAAAGAAGAAGAAAGAGGACAAGGAGAACTCTGGGATCTTTGGTGCTCTCTGAGCTTGGTTCAAGACCCCAAAAGATTGGGAACAATCTTTTGTTGCAGACGTTTCATTACATCATCAGTACTAGAAGGGAGTAAATCTCTCTGCAATTACTAGCCCTGCCGATGGAGGTACTGTATAGTTTATTAAGAGTGAGCACTCCCTTCCTTCTGGCGCTGATGATGTTACGTAGCTGGGTAATGAAAACAGCCAAGCTCAGAGATCACCAAAGATCCCATAGCTCTCTTCCTCCTCCACTCCACAAACCCCCACTTTCTTTTAGCACGGATTATGTTCCCTAGTTGGGTCCCGAAACGTCTGCAAGGAAACAACCCATCTCGGAGAGCACCAAGGAATCCCCGATTTCAGTCCTGAGCTACAAATATTCTCTTCCATCTTTATACGAATCAAACCCGCACGCTTTGAATCAAACAGGGGGCCAGAAGATGAGCCGCACGGGGAGAAAGGTATGGAGGAAGAAGAAGTTTTCCTCGCTTCCTCACCCCCCCTGGCAAAATGTGGAGTCATTGGATAAAATGGAAGCCCGGAGATTTTAGGAAGCAGAAAAGATCGGATCTCTTCATGCCATGTTGAGTTCAAGGAGAGAACGCTGATACATCCATTCATTTCCAAATGCAATTGAATACATTCGCACTCGAGTGGACTGCAAAGGCAAGCAGTTTCTCTCTCTCTCTCCCTCCCTCTCTCCCTCCCTCTCCCTCTCCCCCCCCCCCTCTCTCTCTCCCCCCCCTCTCTGCAAGGTCGTGGCTGGACAGGATTTAGAGAGAGAGAGAAAAAGTCCTACTGAACAACTCTCCCATTTCATGTGTGGCTTAGCACATCCTTACAACATCTGGCTCTTATTTTGCCTTTTTTGAACTGCAGGGCAGGTCAAGGTGTTTGTTGTTGTTGTTGTTAGTTGCGAAGTTATGTCCAACCCATTGCGATAATGTTCCTCCAGGCCTTCCTGTCCTCTGCCATCCTCTGGAGTCCATTTAAGCTCACGCCGACTGCTTCAGTGACTCCATCCAGCCACCTCGTTCTCTGCCGTCCCTTTCTTCTTTTGCCCTCAATCGTTCCCAGCATTAGGCTCTTCTCCAGGGAGTCCTTCCTTCTCATTAGGTGGACAAAGTATTTGAGTTTCATCTTCAGGATCTGGCCTTCTAAAGAGCAGTCAGGGTTGATCTCCTCTAGGACTGGCCGGTTTGATCGCCTTGCAGTCCAAGGGACTTGCAGGAGTCTTCTCCAGCACCAGAGTTCAAAGGCCTCCATTCTTTGGCGCTCAGCCTTCCTTACGGTCCAACTTTCACAGCCAGACATTGCAACTGGGAAAACCATAGCCTTGACTATACGCACTTTTGTTGGTAGGGTGATGTCTCTGCTTTTTAGTATGCTGTCTAGATTTGCCGTAGCTTCCCTCCCCAGAAGCAAACTTAAACTCAAGGGGTTTAAGGCACCCTATTCTCCAAAATACCTAAAAGCAGGACAAGAAGTAACTAAGGAGAAATTTCCTGACAGTGAAAATAATGAATTGGTGGAAGGGTTTGCCTCCAGAGTGTCAGGTTTCGGTGTCGTCTCAAATAAATTGCATTTCCAATCCAACGAATGTTGTTTGGAGTGCTGACATAGAGATTGTAGGTGCTCCATCACTGAAGGTTTTTAAGAGGAGATTGGATAACCATTTGATCTCCGAAGTCCCTTCCAACTCTATTCTTTCCTTCCTTCCTTCCTTCCTTCCTTCCTTCCTTCCTTCCTTCCTTCCTTCCTTCCTTCCTTTCCTCCCTCCCTTCCTTGGAAGGTTTTTAACATTGCTGGAGGTTTTTAACAAGAGTTTGGACAGCCATTTGTGTGAATGGGCATCAGGATTTCCTGCTTGAATTTTGGGAATTGAAGTCCACCTGTCTTAAAATGGCCCAAGGTTGGCGTCCCCTGGACCAGAAGACCTCCAAGGTGCCTTCCAACTCTCCCAGGTTCAACCAAGGCAACCCTTCCTGTCTCCCCTGGCAGCTCACCTTGGCCACAGCAGCAGATGCTACATCCAGAGCAGCGTAAAGGCGAGGTTTGTTCTTGGACATCTCTGAAACAAAAGGGAAAAAAATGGTTTGCAGATGAGTAATAGCAATAGCAATATCACTTAGACTTATATACCGCTTTATAGCCCCCTCTAAGAGGTTTACAGAGCCAGCCTATTGCCCCCCAACAATCTGGGTCCTCATTTTACCGACCTTGGAAGGATGGAAGGCTGAGTTAACCTTGAGCTGGTCAGGATTGAACTGCTGGCAGTCAGCAGAATTAGCCTGAAATACTGCATTCTAACCACTGCACCACCACGGTCCTTCCTTCCTTCCTTCCTTCCTTCCTTCCTTCCTTCCTTCCTTCCTTCCTTCCTTCCTCCCTCCCTCCCTCCCTCCCTCCCTCCCTCCCTCCCTCCCTACTTAGCAATAACACTTAGACTTATATCCCACTTCACAGTGCTTTTGCAGCCCTCTCTAAGCGGTTTACAGAATCAGCCTCTTGCCCCCAACAATCTGGGTCCTCCCACCTCGGAAGGGTGGAAGGCTGAGTCAACCTTGAACCGGTAAGAATCGAACTGCCAAACTGCTGGCAGCCGGCAGACAACAGAAGTAGCCTGCAGTGCTGCATTCTAACCAAAGAACCAAATCAACGTAAGATAAAGTTGCCAGAGATTTGTGTGGGAAGAGATTAGGGGCTGTTTTTCGTATACAGGTAGTCCATTGTTTTCCATTGTTAAAAACAACCCATACTTGATTTTGCAACCTTTTTTTGCCGAAGAAAAATTTCTTGGGCTAACTGCAACCCTCCCCAGAAACTGATTGTCTACTTTGCAAATCTACAACAACATTGGCAAGCACAACATGCTATTCCTTTTGCCAGCTCTGTTCCGAAATAGTAAATAGAGCTCAGGGGAAATAGCTTGATTTTGGAGAAAGGGAGGCTGTGGAAGAGTGCCCTCTGGTGGCCCTCAACACTCTTGCAGGATGAGCATCATCTTGCAACAGATCCTTATTTATCATAGGCATATAAATCAAATTAAAAAAAAAAAAAGAATCGTGGGGCCGGAAGGGACCTTGGAGGTCTTCTGGTCCAGGGGAGTCCAACCTTGGGCCATTTTAAGACAGGTGACTTCAACTCCCAGAATTCCCCAGCCAACATTAAAACTTGTGAATTTCAACTCCCAGAATTCCCCAGCCAACTTTAAGACAAGTGGACTTCAAATCCCAAAATTCCGCAGTCAACTTTAAGACAGGTGGACTTCAACTCCCCAAATTCCCCAGCCAACATTAAGACTTGTGAATTTCAACTCCAGAATTCTCCAGCCAACTTTAAGACAGGTGGACTTCAACTCCCAAAATTCCTCAACCGATGTTAAGACTTGTGAATTTCAACTCCCAGAGTTCCCCAGCGCTTGGATCTTACCAACAAGACACTGTTTTGAGCAAGGGTTTGATGATGCTACCTCGTTCGGCTTCCCTCCCTTAGAAATTTACCTTTTAAAATGTCCCGTCCGGGGCAGCCTTTTTGCAAAAGGGCTTTGTTGTCCGATGCCACCAGCACCTTGAGCTGCTCTGCACGGGAGATGTAATCGCTCACCTGGGCAGGAAGAGAAACAGGACATAAAGACGAAACTTTGGGCTGTTCTGATCCAGCTCCCCAAACACAACAAACCCTCTGAAATTAGCTCAAAGATTCCCTTAATTAGGAGTGCCAGCAGCCCCGGCAACAAGTTTCTCTCGCAGGCTAACAAGTCGGCCAGGCCAGGAGATGAATAGTTGTCTACCACATCTATTCGACTTCGCCCCCTGCCTTTTATCCCCAGAGCTAGCGTGGGGCTTTGCTAGCAGCGGTGGCTGTTCCATCCCAAGGACCAGCCCATAGATTTTCACTGCAAAATCTCCATTCCCACCTCACTCGAGGGGAAGGACACTGCAAAATCCCCATTCCCTCCCCACTCTGGGGCAAGCCAGAAGTGGTATATGCCGGTTCTCCGAACTACTCAAAATTTCCGCTACCGGTTCTCCAGAACCTGTCAGAACCTGCTGGATTTCACCCCTGGACAGAATATGCATTTCAAAAAAAACCGGAACTAATGAATATTGGTGTGCCTACCAAGATCGCAAATTAGCTCATATTGATTAGGAGTTGCCTAGCACCAAAATGTATTTTGCCGGCCCTACTTCTCAGCTTGCTTTCAAGCCTTTTGAAACGTGACTTCTCAAGAGTCAGCCTAAAAAATATCAGTGGGTCCCATCTATCTCCCCTGACTAAGGCAGAGATCCGTGTCTAATCCGGCTTGCAAAGGAGCATTTTCACCTATCCCAAAAGCTTGCCTGAAAAATTAGCCATTGGGTCCAGGAGTGGGATTCAACCGGTTTAGACCGGTTCGGGCGAACCGGATGTTAATTTTAATCTGGTTCGCCAAACCGGTAGTTGCAAGGACTGGCTGACCTCACCCCTCTCCTCCCAGGAGTCTCCACGTAACCTATTTTGGATGCGAGTTAAGTGCAGGGCCCGCGTGGAGGCTCTTGAAGGGGGAAAAACGGGTCTACTGGAAGTACCAGAAGTCCAAAAACGGGCCTGTTTCTGGCCTCTGGAGGGTCTCCAGAGCCTGGGGGAGGCCATTTTCGCCCTCCCGGAGGCTTGACAAAAACCTCCGGAGCCTGGGGAGTGCAAAAAATGGACCTACCGGAAGTCCGGAAATGGGCACATTTCCGGCCTCTGGAGGGCCTCCAGAGCCCTGGGGAGGCAGTTTTCACCCTCTCGGAGGCTCAAGGAAAGCCTCTAGAGCCTGGGAAGGGCAAAAAATGGGCTTATTAGAAGTACAAGAAGTCTGAAAACGGACCCGTTTCCAGCCTCCAGAGCCCGGGGGAGGCCATTTTTGTCCTCCCAGAGACTTGAGGAAAGCCTCCGGAGCCTGGGGAGGGCAAAAACACCCCCGCTGCCATGGTGCAGGCGGATGAGTAGGCCACGCCCCCCCAGCAACGGGGCAGAGAACCGGTTGCTAAAATTTTTCAATCCCACCTCTGATCAAGTCAGTTGAAAAGTGGACAATTGACTAACCTTGGCTCGGATGGCTTCCTTCCGCTGAGCGTCCCGTTCATCTGAAGGCAACAAGAGAGATGAGGAAGTGAGCAGGGCAAGGCTGTGTCTTACACACAAAGGCAAAATCAATGGAGACTGTCATAATTTGAATGCTCAAAGAGCCATCTGGACCCGTTTCCCACAGAAAAGAAAACACCGGGAGCCACAAAACCCTTCCCGTGCCTGACTATTTCTTGAGCGGCCACAAAACTAGCGTATGTGGTTGAATTAAACATTCTGTTTTCTTCTGAAACTTTTCTTTTCTTGGATTTATCCATGGTTGGCCTACCGGGGGTTGAAAAGCTCAATAAATCGTGTGCCGGTGGGTGTCGCACATTGGCGGTTGTGACGCATATTTTGAGTGAGAGGGAGCCGCAGCAGAGGGGTGAAAGAGCCACATGCGGCTCCAGAGCCGCAGGTTGCTGACTCCTGCTCTAGAGGAAAGAAGGAAGGGAAAAGCAAAGAGCAACTGGGTTACTCACAGCGTAAGGCAGGAACAAAGTACTCCAGAGCTTTGGAGTAGAGTGACAGGGCGGTGGCCATGTCACCTTCTTGGTCCTTCTTGACGGCCTCCATGACAAGTTGGGTCTGTAATGAAGCAACATAAGAAGATGTTAAAGAGAAGAGACTCCGGGCCGAGGGAGTCCATCCTCAAAAACAGGGTTGCCCAACCTTAGCAATTTTAAGAACTGTGGACTTCAACTCCCAGAATCCACCAGCCAGATAACATTTGGAGGTGGCTCAAAGATATACCTCTGAAATTCAATTAACTGTGAGGAAGAGGAGGAGGAACATAATTATTTGTATATTTATGGATTTATAATCCGACTTGCAAGAGTCTGTTATTAGACCACTTTAATAAAAAATAATTTTGGTTTTTCCTGCGGAGTGGATTTGGTCTGATCTATCTAGGGGGATCTAGCAAATAGAGACCAAGTAGATTCTACTGTAATAGTAAGTTCTCTGCCAATGCTGAACTACAAAACCTCTCCTTCCTTCCTACCTTCCTATCATCCCTGTCTTCTTTCCTTCCTCCCTCCCTCCCTCCTTCCCTTTATTTCGTTCTTCCCTTCACCCACCCTCCCTCTTCCTTCCTTCCTCCCTCTTCCTTTCTTACCTTCCTCCCTCCCTCCTCCCTTCCTCCCATGTCTTCCTCCCTCTTCCTTCCTCCCTCTTCCTTTCTTCCTACCTTCTTATCATCTCTGCCTGCCTTCCTTCCTTCCTTCCTCTTCCTTCCTTCCTCCCCCTTCCTTCCTTCCTTCCTTCCTTCCTTCCTTCCTGCCTGCCTGCCTTCTTCCTTCCCTCCCTCCTCCCTCGTTTATTCTCTCTCCCTCTCCCTCTCTCTCCCGTTTGCTGATACTCACTGCTTTCCCCAAACTTTCCGCGCTGGGCATGTGTTCCATGTCCACAAAGGGTGTGCGCGAAGAACGCCTGGAAGGAGATGCGCTGCTGGGGGTCTCTTTGCAGAAGACGCTGCAGGAGATCCTGGCATTCCGGGGAGAGGCGGGGGCGGCTGGGAAGCTGTGCAGGGAAAGGTGGGAGAAGCAGGTGAAGGCTTAAAGGTACCCCACTCCAGATCAGGGAACTTTTCAATCACTCCAAAGAGAAGCCCAGCGGTGGGGACACAGGCTTGTGCTATGGATCCCTTGCACAATCTGGGGAAACCTACGGATCCCTTCTCAGAAAAACGCATGAAAGAAGGAAAAGGGAATTAAAAGCAGCTTGAAAAAAAAAAACCTTGTGATGGCCCGGGGCGTGGCACAAAGGCAACACAGCCAGAGAATAAGTATGAGTCCCTTTATTAGCTCCAACTTTGCCCCCAACGTCCCGTTTACTCTCCGGTCTGGAGAAAAACTCTCCCACAAAACTGGAACAGCCGTTGGCTGAAAATACTCCAATCCAGGCGTTATAAACAGAAAACTTCCAACTATAAATCCAACAAGGCTAAGGTAAGGTAACTAATCCGGCAGGGCAAGCAAGATACGGAGTTCCAGAAGTGAAGAAGCACGGCGGTAAATCAAACCAGTTGGGAGGATGCCAGGAACTGAGATAAAGCACCAGATGAACTCAGTGTTTGTTCCCAACAACCGGCCCTCCCGTTTCCCTCTCCTTTAAACTCCATCCCCAGGTGTGCCTTGTGAAGGGAATCGGAGTCCTTTCCTTCCCTCTTAGTCATGCAACCCACGTTGCTCTCTTCTCCGTTCTTCCCTGCGTTGCCTAGGATGAGGATTGGTCTTCATCTGAACGCCCCTCTCCGTTGTTCTACCTCCCCCCTGCTCTGCCCAGCCTGACTCTGCCCTTCCCCAGTTTCCTCCACAGCCAACGGAGCCACTCTCTCGCTCTCTGTCAGCTGTTTGTCTTCCCCCTCGGATTCAGATTCCGATGGGGGCATGCTGTAAAACTCACATCACAACTAACCAAGGCAACCCCCCCTGCGGCCTTGCAGGGTTACCTCAACAGGTTGGCTGCTGCGGATCTTCTCCTCCAGCTCAGCAAAAGATTTGGAGGCGAAAGGGGGTCGGCCAAAGAGGGCCTCTAGAAGGGGAAATAAAACAGTTAACCTAGTTAAGGATCAGATCTCTTGCAAAATGTCGGAAAGAATCCCGAGGAAGCTGCAGAGAAGGAAGCCACAATCGCGGCTTTCAAATCTCTTGACCCGGGAAGAATTTCAAAAGACATCAACCTAGACCACTGAGATGTCTGTGTGTGTGTGTGTGTTCGCATATATATGTGTGTTTGTGTGTTTCAGAGGTGGGTTCTACTTACTTTTACTACCGGGTTGCAATCGGAGCATACGTAGATCGCTTCTAATGACGTCAGGGTCAGTGGGCGGAGCCTCCTGCTGGTTTTACTACCGGTTCTATAGATTCGGTCCGAACCGGGGGCAACCCACCACTGGTGTGTGTGTGTGTGTGTGTGTGTGTGTGTGTGTGTGTGTGTGTGTGTATGATAACAGCTGCAGAACTCAAAGACTCGGTTCACTCCATGGGAAGACCTTGTAAGGGCGTCATTCATGCTAAAGGTTACCCAGCTAAGGATTCACTGACATGGGGATCATTTTTGTATATCTCGTTTTTTCTACCTGTTTTACTTTTCTTCTTTATACTGTAACTGCTATTCTTTCATAAAAGTGATGGCTTTACATTCTTGATTAAATGATCTTTCCATTGACATATAATTTTATGGTACTACTCCCCCCCAAAAAATTGGTGTTATTAGCTAGTTTTAGAAAATACGCTTTTCCAAAAAGTTTCCCCAATTTTGGCCACTACTGTATGTACATGTCCGTCTGTCTGTCTTAGACGTCTGTCTGTCTATCTGTCTATCTGTCTATCTGTCTATCTGTCTATCTATCTATCTATCTATCTATCTATCCATCCATCCATCCATCCATCCATCCATCCATCCATCCATCCATGTGTGTGTATGTGTATACCGTGTTTCCCCGATAAAAAACCCTGTCTTCTATTTTTTTGAACCCCGAAATAAGCGCTTGGCCTCATTTTCGGGGAGGTCTTATTATTTTGGGGCGCTTGGAGCAAGATGGGGCTCCTCTTGCCGTCTTACCTGATTTCCAGCTCCGTCTCCCTAACCCTAACCAGAGAAAATGGCGGGGACCAGCTGCGCATGCGGTAAAATATTTTTGGGGAGGGCTCATTTTCGGGGAAACACGGTATATGTGTGTGTGTGTGTAGATAGACAAACGGACAGACAGACAAATGTATGTGTACGGGTGTACGGGTGTATCTCTATGGATGTATATATATATATTTCAGAGCGGGCATCAGGATTTCATTTTTTAATGTGTACTAGTATGTTTACAGAAAAAAAGTGACAATACAGGTGATCTCGTCTCATCTCATCTTACCGTAGAGGATCACGCCCACTGACCACAAATCTACCCGAGCATCGTATTGCCGACTGCACACCATTTCGGGCGCCATGTAAAGTGGAGACCCTCTCAGCACGTGCTTCTCATCTCTGGGGGACATGTGCTGTGCAAACCCAAAATCTAGGGGGGAAAAGAGGGAGCCTTGATTCAAAAAAACCTTCACAGGAGGAGTTCATCCCTGTATCCCGGGGAAATCATGATGTATAGGTTAGGGTTAGGATTAGGGTTTTGCAACCCTAATCAACCATTCATTTACCAATTATTTGGGGGGCCCTCCGAAAAGTGCTTTAGGATTGCTCCTTGTATTTACGGCTGACATAAGGTGCGGTGGCTTAGAGATGGAGCTCTCGCCTCACAATCAGGAGGTTGTGAGTTCGATCCTAGTTAGAGGCAGATATTTCTCTCTCTGGGCAGGATGAGAATATATCTGCTGAATATAGCTCCGCACTGGTGACAGGAAAGGCATCTGGCCAGTAAAACACTCTCTGCTAGCTCCATTCGGTTGCCCAGACTCCACCCCACAAGGGATTATGACAGTGGTGGAATTCAAATTTTTTTACTACGGGTTCTGTGGGTGTGGTTAGGTGGGCGTGGCAGAGGAAGGATACTGCAAAATCTCCATTCCCACCCCACTCCAGGGGAAGGATACTGCAAAATCCCAATTTTCTCTCGATCAGCTGAGACTTGGGAGGCAGAGAATAGATGGGGGCGGGGCCAGTCAGAATTTCCACTACCGGTTCTCCAGAACTGGTCAGAACCTGCTGAAACCCACCTCTGACTTGAAGGGAATTTAATTGAGCCCAGCCAACCTTAGCCTGATGTTCTGGTCCTTTCCATACCTGCCAGCTTGAGATGAGGTTTCTCCAAGGAACTCAGTAGGATATTTTGGGGTTTGAGGTCCAGATGGGAGATATTCTTATCGTGAAGGAACTTCAAGGCACAAGCTGCTTTGAAAAAAGGAAAATGCACTCAGAAACAGTCCATATTCTTGAGGACTAGATCCCTAAGCCAGCGTTTCTCAACCTCAGCGACTTTCAGAAGGGTGAACTTCAACTCCCAGAATTCCCCAGCCTGCAAGTTGAAGTTCAACCCCCTTAAAGAAACACTGTTCTAAACCAGGAATATTCAACTTTGGCAACTGTTAAGATTTGTGGACTTCAACTCCCAGAATTCCCTAGACATAGCTGGCTGGAGAATTCTGGGAGTTGAAGTCCACAAGTTTCTCTCCTTATTCCTCACCCAGTTGTTGTAGAAATATACAAGCTGCCTTTTCTGGAAGAATCCTCCGGCTACGAATGAAACGGGACAGATCACCTCCAGCACAATATTCCATGATTAAGTAGATGTATTCCTTGTCCCACTAAAAGAAGAGAGGGAAAAAAAAAACCTCCATCAAGTTGATCAGAAGCACTTCTACTTTCCCATTTGCATCGAGCCAACCTCTTTTCCCCCCCTAAGTTTCTAGTCCTTATGGAGCCAATACCTAGCCCAGTAGGAGTTATTGCTGAATAAATGTGTGCAGAATTGCACCGTCAATCTTAGGATGTGGTGCTTTAAGTAGCTTGGTCAAAGAAATGGCTGCAGCTCCTTTGCAGGTAGTCCTTGACTTACAATCGTTTGTTGAGCGACCGTTCCAAGTTACAACGGTACTGAACAAAGGGACTTAAGACCAGTACTCACACCTCAACCCCCTCCCCCTCTTTTCTTTGCACCTGGAAGTCCTTTAACTCCACAATATGAGGGTGCCGGACGGTCTTCAGGATCTCAATTTCGGTCAGCAGGTTTTCGACAGAGGCCTTGTTCAGATTTTTCTTACTCACACATTTGATGGCTACCACTTCCCGGGTATTCTTCTAACAAGAGAGAAAGGAAAAGACTTCGGCATTTTCTAGTCAGGTTTTTATTTTATATTTTTTAGCTTTTTTAAAAAAAAAAATTAACCTTGGGTATGTATGTATGTGTATGTATGTATGTGTATATATATATATACCTTTTAAATATACCTTTTAAATATGGTATAAAGGTATAAAGGTTTTTTAAAAGGTATAAAATATACCTTTTAAAAATGTTTTTTAATCTTGGGTATTTTATATTTTTTGTAGCTTTTAAAAATGTTTTTTAACGTTCGGTATTTTATATTTTTAGCTTTTTATAATATTTTTTAAACTTTTGGTATTTTATATCTTTTAGCTTTTTAAAATGTTTTTTTAAACTGGGTATTTTATATCTTTTAGTTTTTTAAAATGTTTTTTTAACTTTGGGTATTTTATATTGTTAAGCTTTTTAAAATCTTTTTTTACCTGGGTATTTTATATCGTTTAGCTTTTTAAAATCTGTTTTTAACTGGGTATTTTATATTGTTTAGCTTTTTAAAATCTTTTTTTAACTGGGTATTTTATATCATTTAGCTTTTTAAAATGTTTTTTAACCTTGGGTATTTTATATTTTAAACAATACAGCCAAAAGACGAACAGAGGTAGATGCAAGCATTTTGTACTGACTCATCGGTACCTACATTACAATAACATGGTTAAAATAGATCTAATAGATCTTATATTTGAGGCTGATTTTAACCGAGTTATTGTAATGTAAGTACCGATGAATCAATACGAAATGCTTGCATCTTACCTCTGTTCGTCTTTTGGCTGTATTGTTTAAATTATTAAAAGGGACTAATTGTTTTCTATTTTCTATTTTTTAGTATTTAAGAATGGTTTTTTTTTTAACCCTGGGTACTTTTTATTTTATTTATTTATTTTATTTATTTATCAAGCATATATACGTATAAACATGATTATGAATACATGAAATGGATCCGAATACAAAATACTTGTAGGGGAGATGGGTGGGAAGAAAACCATAATAAATAAATACACTGAATAAATAAAACACCGTATTATTCCTCGTATTATTATTTTTTTTTACTGTGCTAACCAAATATGGGGAGGTTTGTTTTTCATGAAAAATCTCCCATCCTTCTTAAATACATCATTGCTTTCGGGTCATTTTTGCCCCATCAGGATTCTTACAGGATGCCTCCACTTTCATGTTTTAAAGTATTGCAAAAAGTATTTATTGATTTGTCAAGCACATATAAGAATAAAAGTATAAAAGCATAAACAACGATTTGAATACATTTTTAAACCCCATCCATTCCACAGATAATCCGTGCACACCCAAAACTCTTTTGGAAGGAGAAGGAGTGGTGGTGGTGTTGGTAGGGAGGAAATCCACCCTAATTTTTCCAAAGTGGGAAAGGATCCCAAGACCACAACCATTAGGAAACCCCATAGTAGGTGTGTGTGTATGTGTGAGTGTGTGTCAATCATCCCCACAAGACTCCTGTCCGGCTGGCTCCCCCTCCTTTTTTGCACGCGCGTCCCCAACCCAACCCAACCCAACCCAACCCAACCCAACCCAACCCAACCCAACCCAACCCAACTCAACCCAACTCGGAGCCAACTCGGAGCCAAGGAGCTGCGCGCAGGCAGACTCTTCCAGGTAGACTTCCTCGCGCAGGGGAGGCTCTACCTTTGGCAGCCCGACCAACCGGCCGGACCGAGCAGGCCAGGGCAAGGGCAGCTGCTCCCAGAGATACTCCTCCGTGCCAACCCCGCGTTACCTTCCTGTAGGCTTTGAAGACAGTGGCGTAAGTGCCGCTGCCCAGCCGCTCGGTTAGCAAGAAATCTTCCAGCTGCGGAGGTGCCCAGCCGGCCCCGGCCATCTCCGGGCCGGGCAAGGCTCCTCCGGGTCCCCGCTTGGAAGCAGAGGCAGAGGCGGAGGCGGCCGAGGCTCCTCCTGCTCCGCTTCCTGCTTGGCAAAGCAAGCCGAGAAGCGCAGCCGTTGCGCGCAACCGACTTGGCAGCTGGGCGCCGCTGCAACGATGCGCTGCAGGTTTCCCCCCCGGGGGGGGGGGGGGGGGGGGGGGGAGGAAATTCCTGGGGGGGGGTGGGAGGGGGGGGGGAGGTGGGGGTCTTGGTCCGGGGTAAAGGTTTGGTCCGGGGTAAAGGTAGACGGGAAGCCCCTTAACGCAGGTTTTGGTCCAGTAGTAAAGGCACCAGGTTAGAAGCCAGGAGAAGGTGAGTTCTAGTTCCCCTTGGTTGGGCGACTGTGAGATGGCGAGTTCTCGTCTTGCCTTGGCTACAAAAGCCAGCTGGGTGACTATGGGCCAATGACCAGGAGACGATGAGTTGCAGTTCCACTTTAAGCATGACAGCCAGCTGGATGAGTTTTTGGGCCAATGACCTGGAGATGGTGAGTTGTAGTTTCACCTTATCTGGGTGACAATGGGCCAATGACCGGGAGACAGTGAGTTGTAGTTCCACTTTAAGCATGACAGCCAGCTGGATGAGTTTTTGGGCCAATGACCTGGAGACGGGTGAGTTGTAGTTTCACCTTAGTTGGGTGACTATGGGCCAATGACCAGGAGACGGTGAGTGTAGTTCCACCTTAACATGACAGCCAGCTGGATGAGTTTTTGGGCCAATGACCTGGAGACGGTGAGTTGTAGTTCCACCTTAGCTGGGTGACTATGGGCCAATGACCAGGAGACAGTGAGTTGTAGTTCCACCTTAAGCATGACAGCTAGCTGGATGAGTTTTTGGGCCAATGACCGGGAGATGGTGAGTTGTAGTTCCACCTTGGGCATAAGAGGGTGGTTGGGCAACTATGAGATGGTGAGCTCTAGTCTTGCCTTGGCTACAAAAGCCAGCTGGGTGAATTTAGGCCATTTACCAGGAGACAGTGAATTGTAGTTCCACCTTAGACATGACAGCCAGTCATGGATGAGTTTTTGGGCCATTTACCAAGAGACAGTGAGTTCTAGTTTCACCTTAGGCACAAAAGCGTGGTTGGGTGAGTTTGGGCCAATCACCAGGAGATAGTTCTAGTCCTGCCTTAGGCAAGAAACTTGGCTGGGTAAGTTTGGGCCATTTACCAGGAGACGGTGAGTTATAGTTCTACCTTAGATATGACAGCCAGCTGGGTGAGTCTGGGCCAAACACCAGGAGATGGGAGAGTTCTGGTTCCATGTTAGGCATGAAAGCCAGCTGGGTATCCAGCCCATCTTGCAGGATTATATTTGTGGGGAAAATAAGAGGGAGGGAAGGAGCATGAGATACATGTTTCCCACCTTGAATTATTGATAAAAACAATCTTTCCCCCTCCCTTTCTCTATTTGTGTATGTGTCTCATGATGTGCCAGCCCAGCCTCTGTCGTATTTGTGACTTGGTGTTCCTTGTAAAGTCAGAAAATTGGACAGTGTGCAAACAGCCACTAAGATTCAGCCTGTCACAGGATGCCTGAAAATGATCCCTTGAAGCTTTCCCTTGGCAGCTGCCTCCAGAAATCAGCTTGCATTGCTCCCGTTTCTCTTTTGAAGGCCACGATCAAGAGCTTCGGGAACAGAATATAATAGGACAAGGCAATAAGAGAAACAAAGTGTTCCAATGCTTAATGGCATTCAAAGAAAGACACACACACAAAAACATGTTTCTACTAAGTCTTGATATTTTTATTCTGCGTTTAACCACAAAAGTTTGACATATACAATTTTTTTTTACAACCAAAAAAAAAAAAAGAGGTGGAAAATACATCCGAAAGGGGAAGATTTTATTTCATTTTTCTTTTTAAAAAAATCTCATTTCTGCCATCATTACATATCTCCGAAGAATAATAATAAAAATAAAAAAGAGAGACAGAAACCAAGAGATACTTCCCTGGGATGTACCAGGGTACATTCCAAGCTCACAAAAGTTTGGAAACATCCGTGGTGGGAAAAAAACGAAAGAAACCCCAAACACCTACGTATTTTGGGGTGGGAAGAGAGGAAGACACCAAGTTTACCTAAAGAAGTAAAAAAGCAAGGGGAAAAAAAAACTGGTTAGCGAGATTGTAAGCTCTCTGAACGCTCCTCTTCCATCGGATTTATTAAAAGATATAAGCCTTAGATGTGCATCTTAGATCACTTGAAGTAGGTCGACAGAAGTTAACCAAAGAGCGTTTAGTGTTTTGGAGAGGTATACCCCCAATTTAAGAGTCGATACCCCCAATTTAAGAGTCGATCAATCGATCAAGCCTATCAGATGAGGAGGGATCTTCCAAAGTTTTCCTTTTACACTGATTCGTTTTCAGAGAACACAAAACGGGCCTCTTGAGGGGAGCCCGGATGTTTTTGACGTCGGCTGTCATTCAAGCTTCGAATAAAAAGAGAATTTAAGATTTTGGACGCAGCCGCCTGTCATCCATTCTGTCCCAAACAAGCCTTGGCTAAACCCATCGTCTTTCTCTCCAAACTTTTATTTTGAAACCAGAGGTGCCGGCAACTGGGAAGAGAAAAAAAAAAAATCTGATAAAAAGCAGAGGAGGTGTTTCCATAGGATCATTTATTTATTTATTTATTATTGAGGAAGAGGAGCTTTTGCTAACGTGCTCCTTTTGAAGAATTGTTTGCTCTGGCGGTTGTATGGAGGCTGGGCGAGGAGGGCAGAGAGACGAATCAGAATTAGAAATAATTGCCCCCTTCATCATCTCAATGTTTGCTTCACTGAAACCCCATCACCTCCTTTCAAAAATCCAGGTTGCTAACGTCTCGGGGGGCCAACGCTGCTGGGGAATAAGACTTTATCCTCTCCGACGATCCAAAAATTTCAATCCCAGATAGGAAACCTGGTTTGTTTTGATGGCTTTGGGGGGCTGGGGGGGTGAGGGAGGGGGAAAAAAGCGTAAGGAGTGTCTTCCACAAATCGTGTCTTTTCAGATCTCCCAGAAAACATACACAAGGGGAAAACAGCCGTACGTTCATTCTACAGCTGGCAGTTAACGGTCTTCAGCTAATTAAAAAAAATAATAATCATCAAAGGCAGCAGCTGGGAAGAGGAAGGGAAGGGAAGGGGATTGTTCAGTGATGCTTCCGGCGGGAGGATCAAGAGTGCAAAAATCTCTCCCCGCCGCCCCCCAAACGCCAGCAACGGAAGAAATGGAAAAGTGCAGGAAATATATACGTTTTTAAGTATATATAAAAAAAGGATATTGGAAGGGAAGGAAGGAGGAAAGAGGGAGGGGGGGGAAATCACACCAAAGGTTTTGCCCTTTCCAACAAGACGCGGATGGAGACAGGGTAAAGTTGGAGGGTTGAAACTCCCCGCGAGCCTCTTGGGAGTTAAGGCGTGCTGCACCGGCGGGGAGAGAACTGCCTGAACGTCGACGATCAGATACCGTGAGGAACGGAAGCAGGAACCTCGCTGGGGCAGTTCAGTTTCCCCGGAAAGCGTTCTGAGCCGCCGTGGAGGCTGCCCCGCTAGCGGCCGTCTGAAAGTTCCTGTTGCTGAGGATGCCTTGGGAGAATTCTTCCTGCGCTCTCTGGAAGCTGGCGCCTGTCCGGCGATAGAGCGAGTGGACCTTTGGGAGTGGAGAAAGCAAAGTGAGGAGGTCAGTAAGAGCCCCGCCCGGCAGGTCCAGAACTGGCAACCGCCCATCCCTTGTTCCACTGGAGGAGACCAGCAGCGTAACGGTGGCGGCACTCTGGCCGTTTATACAAATGTTGTACAGGTTGAATTACGAGCCTTCATTGAGCAAGAGTTTAAAGTTATGGCGCCCGTCGTGTTTGACAGCTGTGGCGGCATCCCCCAAAATGGCCAATTTTGTTCAATAAACCCATGGACTAGCACTGATGATGTTACCTACCTGGGCCATGAAATGTCTGCAAGAAAACCACCAAGCTCAGAGACAGCCAAGGACCCCTCATGTGAACCCTGAGCTACAAATATTCTCCTTTATCGGTACCATGGCTTAGTACCTCGAATGAACTACTAATGGGGCAAAAGCCCACCCAGGCACGACAAAAGTATTCTAGAAGCATGCAAGTAGTCCTCGACTTACGACAGTTCATTTAATGACCGCTTGAATGGGGTTCAATGGGGTTGAATGGGACGGATGGGGTTTTAATTTTTAACTTGTTAGTCTTAATTGCACTTTTAACCGTTTTTTTTTTTTTAATTTGATTTATAGGCCGCCCTTCTCCGGAGACTCAGGGCGGCTTACAGTGCGTTAAGCAATAGCCTTCATTCTTTTGTATATTTTTATACAAAGTCAGCTTATTGCCCCCACAAACTGGGTCCTCATTTAACCTACCTTAGAAAGGATGGAAGGCTGAGTCAACCTTGAGCCTTGGAGAGATTCGAACCAGCAGAAATTGCAGGCAGCTGTGTTAATGACAGGGTGCACTAAACCACTGTACTATCAAGGCTCTTCGTTAAATTATGAGATTTGGATTTAGTTTCTTTTTAACTTTTTCATTAGATGTTTTTTACTGTTGTGAGCCGCTCTGAGTCCGGCTGGAGATAGGGCAGCATATAAATCTCATTAAATAAGTAAATAAATAAGTTACAACGGCACTAAAAATAAAAAGTGACTTATGAGCATTTTTCACGTTGATGACTGTTGCAGCATCCTCCTGGGTCATGTGATCGAAAATTTAGATGCTTGGCAAATGGCTCATACTTACAACGGTTTGCCACCTTCTGACAAGCAGAGTCAATGGGGAAGCCAGGCTCGCTTTTAACGACCGTTGTTACTAACTTAACAGCTACAGGGATTGACTTAACCACCATGGCAGGGGAAGTTGTAAAACGGGACCCAAACTCAATGTCTCGCTTAGCAACGGAACTTCTGGGCTAAACTGTGGCCCTAAGTCGAGGACTGCCCGTTATCAGTGGGGTAGACAACTAAGCTCCATTAAGATATTCGGGGTCGGGGGATCCATCAGCCCCACTTGGCAAGAAGAAAGGGCAGAGAGATGTTGACCTCCGATTGCTGCAGAGATAAATTCCTTACCCACCCACCCACCACAGTGGGAAAAGGAGAAGGAACGAAGGCTACTTGGAGAATCCTGCGGAAAGGACTTGCAGGATTCTAGACCCGTCAATCATCTGTCTTCCCAACTCACTCGTTTCAGCAGGAAGAGGGAGAGAGTGGCGCAGGTTGTGAAGAACATGGCGACCACTATCATGATAATCTTCACGGCCAGGTTTGAGGTTGCGGAGAAGGCCAAAATCCAGCCACTGGAAGAAGAAGGGGAAAAAAAAAAAAAAGGAAGAGGGGGGGAATATTGAATGAGTAGAAATTCAGATTCCGCTGGGAATGGAGAATCAAGAGACTTGACGTCTTGAACCTCTTGTTCTGACCGAGGTTCCCTTAAACAAGCAGGAGGCAGGAACTGGTGCCGGCAAAATCTCTTTGATTTACACGACTGTGGATGACGTTCATTCACAGTCAGCAAGGTTTGTCTGGACAGTTTTGCAAAGGAATATTTATCAACACAGATCTTATCTCGCTTGGCAAGCTGCCACGTAACTTGTTTCCAACCGCAGTACAAGGGCAAACTTGGCACAGAGTCTCTCAGAGTCACGGAACGAACGAATTGTTTCCTGCAAAAGCCCACTCTCTCTATGCTGCTCTTTTATTTCCTATCGGAGGGGCCGATCACCTCCAAGGTATGGCTTTACTCCTGAGTCGACCCTGCTTTCTGAGTTGTTCTTGTCTTCTGGCAGCTCTGCGTATGCGCACATTGGGAACGGGCTCCAGCTGCTCCTCTGCCTCACTGCTGTCTATCTCCCTCTCTGCCTCCGATGCAGAGCTCTCATCCGAGCTTTCCCCAACCCCCAGGACTGGCCCAGGTTCCTCCCCAACCTCCTCACTGTCCGACTCTGCTGCCAAGACTGCAGAGACTGGAGGCCAGAGGTATCAAAGCCCCTTACAGTTTCCTCTAAGAGGCTACCTGAAAAAAACGAACAAATATCTCTTGTGCTGCAGAATTTTCTTTATAGAGAGGCCTGTTTGGCCTAAAAAGTGTCATGCTTTCACAGGTAATAGCTAGGAATAAATGTCTAGAAATTGTGAATGCTCCAATACCGAAGGTGCTTGAGAAGAGACTGGACAACCATTTTTTTTTAAAATTTGATTTATATGCCGCCCTTCTCCGAAGACTCAGGGCGGCTTACAATGCGTTAAGCAATAGCCTTCATACTTTTGTATATAGCTGCTTAGTAGGGCTTTCGGGCCCCCCCACAAAGCGGTGTTCTTTTTTATACAAAGTCAGCTTATTGGCCCCACAATCCGGGTCCTCATTTTACCTATCTTAGAAAGGATGGAAGGCTGAGATTTGAACTCACAGTAATTGCAGGCAGCTGATGTTAATAACAGTGCTTTAGTCTGCTGCACTACCAGGGCTCTTGGTCTGGAATGGTATGGGCAATGGTATGCCTGAGCAGGGGGTTGGACTAGAAGACCTCCGAAGTCTCTTCCAACTCTAGTTATTCTGTCTATGGGAGATCCTCAGTCATCCAGGTCACAGTTGTCTCAAAAGTGCTTTTTTCAAAAGGGCGACTGGACTATTCTTGGTTTTTCCTTCTCGTCCCAGAAGCTTCGTCACTTCTGGCAGGTTCACGGATGAGAAGCGAAACATCCTCCAAGGAAAAAGCAAGAAAAGCCCAGTTGCCTTTGGAAAAAAGCACCTTCGAGACAGCCAGGAATAACCAAACTCCAAGTCTCAGACTGTCCATAATTGGATAATTAGGGAAGAGGGTTTCTGCTTTTTTTTTTTTAGTCCAGGATGCTTTGCTAATTGATACAGGAAATAAATGTAATAAATTTAAAATAAAACTGCCTATCAAGCTGAATATATCCAACTTGGTTCACAGACAGAGTTGGGTTTCCTGGCCCATAAACTGCGGTGACATGAAGTCTGCAGACACCGCTGGTAAATTTTGCACGTGTCACTGACACACCCAAGATCCAGAAATACAAGACGAGCTGTCAGTTCTGGACAAAAGCCTCCTTGCACAATCAGCAACTATCTGTAAAGATAGTCTAAGGACTTTTATGGAGAGGGAGGGGCCCTGGGTTGCCTCCTGATGGAAGCCAGAACCGAGCACCTATACAACCAATTCAATTTGCAAAGTTCACATTGCGTGCAATCTGAATGGCTTGGGGCCTCTCCGTCGTTCTCTCCCTCCCTGGTTGACTTCTTCAAGTCAAATGATTTCAGGGCGTACAAACTATCTTCTGCCCCAGATTTGACTCGGTTTTCTTGAGGAAGGAGAAGGTGGAGGGTGACAGGGATGATGGTTGAGGACTGCTAAGTCCAGAATGCCTTAAAGTGAGTGAGAACGGAAAACACGGCTAGGGATGGAAAAAGAATGAGGGAGTGGGGGAGAGGGGGAGGGGAAGAGAGAGGGAGTGGGGAGAGCGAGAAAGGAGCAAAGGAGGATAGAGGTAGAGGGAAAGAGAAGGGGGAGAGAAAGAGGGAGGGGAGGGAGTGAGAGAGAATGAGAGAGTGGGAGAAGGGGATGGAGAGGGAGGGAGAGGAAGAGAAGCCGAGAGAGGGAGAAAGGGAGAGGGGGGAGAGAAAGAGAGGGAGGGAGGGAAAGAGTGAGGGAGAGGGAGAGAGGGAAGAGGGAGGGACAGGGGAGAGAGGGAGAAGGGGAGAGAGAGAAAGAGAGAGCGAGAGGGAAGAGGGACAGGGGAGAGAGGGAGAAGGGGAGAGAGGGAGGGGGAGAGAAAGAGGGAGAGAGGGAAGAGGGAGGGAGAGAGGAGAAGAGAGAGGGAAAGAGGAAGAGAGGGGGGAGAAGGGGAGAAAAGGAGAGGGAGAAAGAAAGAGAAAGGGAGAGGGAGAGAGAGGGGGAAGGAGAGGAGGAGGAGAGTGAGTAGCGTGCACACCATTCACGGATCAGAAAACATGCAAGGTGGCGGGAGGAGGTGAGTACAAGCACGGGGGGCCGGATGCGTTCGAAAAGGTTAGAAGAAATACAGGCCTTTTGGGCGAAGATTGAGGGCAGGAAGCATGGAGTTAGAGGTGCTTCAGCTTGGATCTGTGGAAGCCGCAGACCAGGAGGAAAAAACAACAACACAGAAGAGGCTTTAGAAAAGGGGTAAGTAGTGGGGGGGACGGACGGACGGGGGACCCCCAAGGCAGCAGCTCTCTTTGTCTGCCAGCAGCAGAGCCTGTCCATCAGGGCTTCGGGATAGGCACGAGGCTTCTTACCTGCTCCCCCAATTAGGGATACCGACAGCCTGGACGATGTGTGCAATTATCTGGCAGAAGAAGATGAAGAAGAAGACAAAGAAACTGAAGGAGCTGTCAGACCTGTGGAAGAGACAGGGAGAGAGTCAAGACGGATCATTTCACGAACGGGGCCCCTTTTAAACGTCGGGGGCCACCCCCCGCCCTCCGGGAGGGACGTGGTCCCTTGCCTGAAAGCCTTGTAAACTGGCCGGTACCAACACAGGAAAGCGCAAGGGGTGAACAAGACGAGCCACAAGATGGAGAGGCCGAAATCCGATCCCGTGGTGGTGGGCTCCACCGTGAACACCGCCAGGCAGGCGAGGACGTTTAACAGCAGGGTGACCGAGTGAACTGGCCAGGAGAGAAAAGAAAGGAAAAAAAAGAAAAAAAAAAATCAGCGGAAAAGCTTCGCTAAAGATCCGAAATGCGGAGGGAATTCCTCGAGGCCCGTGGGAACGACAAATACGGATGCTCTTAATCGCCGCCAAGGTTTTTTTTTTAAAAAGCTGGAGTGGCAACACGCCCCTGTGCATGGCAAGGACGCAATTCGAGGGCTGTTTTATTTGAAGAGGGGAGTCTCGGCCAAGTTCCTTCAATCGTTACCTCCGTTTGATGAACCAGGTTGTCCAAAATACCTGGGACCCTTTCCTCACTCTGCAAAATGCTTTCTAAGCTGTTGTTGGTTAAATTTTATTTATTTATTTTATTTTATTTGTTTCCATTTCTACACCGCCCTTCTCCAAACAGGACTCAGGGCGGTGAAGAGCCAAAGTAAAAAACAGAACATACAAAATTTAAAAAACAGTTTAAAATAATTAAATATTTTGGCCGTAAATTAAAACAACCCGATTTAAAATCAATTTAAAATTTAACTCAAGCCAGCCCAGCTAGTTGAAATAAATAGGTTTTCAGGGCCCGACGAAAAATCTTGGTTAAAGTCCTTTGCGGCTTGGGACCAGGTGATCTGAGGGACCGGTCTTCTCTTGCCGGTTACATCTACCCCAGGGGTGAAATGTAAAATTTGTTACTACCGGTTCTGTGGGCGTGGCTTGGTGGTGGGGGTAATGTGACTGGGTGGGCATGGCCAACTTTTCTTTTCTTTTCTTTTTTTTTTAAACTTTTCAAAGCATTTTTTCTAATGCTTTGAAAAGCCTCTCTGCCGATCAGGCAACTCAGCTGGGATCGTCAGAGACTTTTCAAAGCATTTTTTTAACCACCTCTTTGGCCAAGAGGTTGCAAAAAATAAAAAATGCTTTGAAAAAGCCTCTGACGATCCCAGCTGAGCCGCGCGATCATCAGAGGCTATTTTTTTTGTACTTTTAAAAGCATTTTTTCATTGGAAGAGGTGGTAGAAAAAATGCTTTGAAAAGTTTTTTAAAAAAAGCCTCTGATGATCGCGCGGCTCAGCTGGGCATGGTGGGGAGGGGGGGGGGCACAGGGATTTTTGCTACCGGTTCTCCGAACCACCCGCCGCCATCGCTACCGGATCGGGCGATCCGGTCCGAACCGGGAGCATTTCACCCATGATCTACCCCCACCCATCAGAGCCGCGGGGAGGCAGGGAATGTCGTAGGTCCCATCCCCTACTAGACCTTTTCCCAACGAATGGAGCTAAAGATCGTTTTTACTTAGAGGTTTAAGTCGTGGTGGAAACGGAAATCGGCAATATCAACCGTACACCTCCAATTGGTTGTTTTTTACCTTTTTTTTTTCAAAAAAAAAATTTAAACAACGAACAAAAATTCCCAAGGTTTTCATTATCATGGAGAAAGCTTCCCGGCCTCTTTCGCTTCACCGCTTTTACTCACACATCCACAGGTAATACATCATTTTGCAAATGTGCTGATAGTCAGCTGGGATCTCCGCGGAGAAATCTTGATAGAAGCAAGGCTTAATGGGGCAGATCTTCGGAAGCGGGGGCCAGTTGTTCTGTTTTGCTGGAGTGGAGAAAAAAAAGAACGCATTTCGGGAAGGGCTTCCACCACGGTGCCGGAATTTGGAAGCCTGCCCAGAGGAGGGGATTGGAGTAGATGTCTTGCTCCACGGACACTTGAGCATTAAAGAGCGTAGAGAAGAGCAGTAATTAGGGAGATTGGAGGCTAAACAATATGAAGAACGGTTGCAGGAACTGGATATGTCTGGTTTAATGAAAAGGAGGACTAAGGGAGACAGGATAGGAGTCTTCCAATATCTCAGGGGCTGCCCCAAAGAAGAGGCAGTCAAGCTATTCTCCAAAGCAGGACAAGAAGCAACGGGTGGAAACTAATCAAAGAGAGAAGCAACTTAGAACTAAGGAGAAATTTCCTGAGAGTTAGAACAATTAATCAGTGGAACTACTTGCCTCCAGAAGTTGTGAATGCTCCAACATTGGAGGTTTTTAAGAAGAGGTTGGATAACCATTTGTCTGAAGTGGTGTAGGGTTTCCTGCCTGAGCAGGGGGTTGGACTAGAAGACCTCCAAGGTCCCTTCCCGATCCGTTATTCTGTTATTACTCACGGTTAAAGCCGGCTGCGCTGTTCTGCAGTTCGCGCTCCTTTCTGTCCAGCTCCGCAGCTTTCCTTTCTAATTCTTCTTGCTGTTTCAGGAGCCCAGCCTGTGCTGCTGAGGCCACAGACTGAAGGCGGGGAGAAGCAATAAAGATTATTAGAAAAGGAGAGGGGAGGGTTAAAGTAAATTCTAGGGGGTGGGCAGGGGTGCTAGGGAAAGAACCTGTACCTATAATCGTTTTGGAGTGGAGGTTTTACTTTCTGGTCCTTAAAAACAGCTTTTTTTCGAACTTGGCAATTTTTAAGATGTGTGGACTTCAACTCCCGGGATTCTCCTGGGCTGAGGAATTCTGGGAGTGGAAGTCCACACATCTTAAAAGTTGCCAAGTTTGGAAAAGCGCTGCCTTAAAAGCATACAGAAGGGACGCGGTGGCTCAGTGGCTAAGACGCTGAGCTTGTCGAGCGAAAGGTCGGCACTTCAGCGGTTCGAGTCCCTAGTGCCGCATAACGGGGTGAGCTCCCGTGACTTGTCCCAGCTTCTGCCAACCTAGCAGTTCGAAAGCAGGTAAAAAAATGCAAGTAGAAAAATAGAAACCACCTTTGGTGGGAAGGGAACAGTGTTCCGTGCGCCTTTGGCGTTGAGTCATGCCGGCCACATGACCACGGAGACGTCTTTGGACAGCGCTGGCTCTTTGGCTTTGAAACAGAGATGAGCACCGCCCCCTAGAGTCGGGAACGACTAGCACGTATGTGCAAGGGGAACCTTTACCTTTACCTAAAAGCATACAGGCCTTCTGCAGATCCAACATTTTCACTCCAACCCAGCCTTTTAACATTTAATTTATTCTTATTCTTTGGTTTTATCTGGCTCTTCTTATTGATGTATTGCAATTTTATAAGGCTTTTAGGCCTTTATGTTTTTCGCTGGGAGTTACCTGTGTGAGGGACATGGCTGGTAGCTACATTTGATCAACGAATTAAGTAATAAATAGCGGCACCATTAAATACTTAAGTTTTAGGATTTTGGAAGAATTTGGTTATCTGTTTCTAGGTTTTTCCGAGGAGCCAATTTTTTAAAAAACAACAACAACCCCCCCCCTCCAGGCTCTCAAAATGTATTGCCAGCCAATGTTTTGTGATTTTTCTTTCTAGAAAATTTAGCATACGAAATAAAAAAAGAATTTCAGAAGTGCTGATAGAAGAAACTTTTTGAACTTTCTCCCTCGAGGGGCAGATATCGCCGCCTCTCCCTTTTCTGCTTTCCCAGGTCCTTGTCCCAAACGTAATTCCAAAAAACGGCATCAGGAAAGGACTGGTATCTCAGAAGAGAAATGGGTTTTGCGATCAGGAGGAATAAAAACGTAAAGCAGGATCCCTCGGGAGGAGAAGTGATTACAGGTAGTCCTGGACTTACAACCGTTTGTTTAGGGGGACTGCTGGAAGTTACGACGGCACTGAAAACATGTTTTCTCCACTCACGACCACTGCAGCGTTCCTGTGGCCACGTGATCAAGGTTCGGAGACTTGGCAAGTGACTCGTATTTATGACAGTTGCAGTGCCCCCGGGTGGGTCACGCAATCCCCTTCAGAGACCTTCTGACGTACAAAATCAACGGGGGAGCCTGATTCGTTTAACGGCCGTGTGACTAACCCAACAACTGCCGTGACTTAACAAGCGTGGCACAGAGAGTCGTCAAACGGGGCAAAACTCACTGAATAAATGTCCCACTGAACAACAGAAACTTTTGAGCTCAATTGCGGTCGTAAGTCGAGGAGGCCCTGTAACTTCCTAGAGGAGGGGTCTCCAATCTTGGCAACTTTAAGCCTGGTGGACTTCAACTCCCAGAATTCCCCAGCCAGCTTCCTTGGCAGCTTTAAGCCTGGCGGACTTCAACTCCCAGAATTCCCAAGCCAGTTTCCTTGGCAACTTTAAGCCTGGCGGACTTCAACTCCCAGAATTCTCCAGCCAGCTTTGCTGGCTGGGGAATTCTGGGAGTTGAAGTCCGCCAGGCTTAAAGTTGCCAAGATTGGAGACCTCTGCCCTACAGGAAGCGATGCAAGATTCTCTGCTGGTGGCATTTGCTACCCTTCGCGTTTTACCTGCCGTTGACTCTGACTGCTGCTGTCCTCTAGCAACTTCTGCCTCTCTGAACCTTCTGAACTTGCTGAGATGAATTTAGGAGTCAGGTACTTGCTGGCCTGTCTAAGCAGCAGCTGCAACACACAACTAGGCTTGTTCTAAGCTTACGGGACGGGCCTGATCCGCTATCTTCTGCAACTGAGTAAGTGGCCCTCAAAACAGGTTAGACAAGTCAGGCAAGGGAAGAAGAGAAAAACTGCACGTGGGAAAACACAACCACCGGGAATATACTTAAAACGCATCTCTTTCCCCATGCAAAGGTAGAAAATTATTCTTTATGATTTCATGTTCTTTGAAAACGGAGCTCAGTGAGGCTGCATGCTCCATTTTCGCTGGCAGAGGGCTGCAGGAGGCTGTTGCAGCCGAAAACGGAGCCTTGATGAGTACGTTGAGCTGGCCATGTCTACCCTGGCCACGCCTCCCGGCCCCCCCGAGGTCAAACACAACCCTGATGTGGCCCTCAATGAAATTGAGTTTGATACCCCTGTTGTAGACATTGTCAGCACTTCAAGCTGCATTTACTCTAGTGCTGACATAAGGAGGAGGAGCGGAGGCGTTTGGAAAGGGACGTTTGACTTTTCACCTACTTATTTTCCCTGGAGATAATATCCCCTAGGAGATGGGATGGGAGGGGGGAAATTCCTTTGAGCTGGAGCAGTAGATTAGGGGCAGAGTGACTTGGAAGATGGCCAGTGAGTGCAGGGGAGTGGGGAACGGAAAGGGAGGTTTGGGGACTGGAAGTCAGTGTTGGCTGCAATGGAATCAGAATGTCGTGCTTAATAAATAGGGGTTTTCGTCAAAGACTTTGTTTGAAATGCAATTTATTTGAGACGACCTCGAAACCTGACAGACATCTCATGACCCAACTAGGTAACATCATCAGTGCTGGAAAGGAGTGGGGTTAGAAGGGTGACGTTATCCAGTTTGGGGATGAAACTACCAAGCTCAGAGAGCACCAAGGACCCCACAGGCAAAAGAGAGAAGCGAAGAATGAACTAAGGGAAACAAAGAAAGTTTCAACAAAACTCCTTCAGTGGCCAGGGGAGTTCTAAAATTAGAGAGGGGTTTGGCAGGAAATATTCCAGTTTATGCGAGTGAAATAAAAGTGACAGTGGCAGGCGATTGATTTAATCCACCCTGGTCACATGTCACATTCGTCTTCTTCCTTCTTGGCCCTCCTCCAAATGTGCAGAGACCACATCTCCCAGAATCCTTTGAGCAAGCAAGCTAGCTAGCTATGAACCTTGGGAGTTGAAGTTGGAATCCCAATCTAACTGGACGAAGGGAGTGGCAAGGAGTGTTCCAGATTAAAAAATCCAGAACATAAACTTGTTTCCTCTTCCTTATGAACAGAGGCCAAAAAAACCAAACAAACAACACACCCCAATATGCACAAAAAAAGATATTAAGATACCTTTTCCAGAGAATTATCAACCTGATCAGCACTACATGGGCCTGTCTATTATGGGATAGCCTTAGGATATGGGATGAAGTCCTGCAGAGACAGACTCTAATAATGCAAGGAGTAAATGGGGTGGGGGGCACACCTGTGGGGTGGGCTCCACAGAAGTCTGTAGCACCGCAGGTTGAGAGGCGCCAGCAGGCTGTGTTGTTGGGATGGTCTGAGCTGCATTTGTCTAAAGGATGAGAGCAAAATATTATTATTATCTGTATTCATTAAATATGAAACTCAGGCAACTGAATATTCAAAAATGCATCACAAATACCATTGACTGGTGGTAATGGTTGATACGGGTTGCTGCCAGCGTCCTAGGGATCAACCAAGTACCTTCTCAAGATGCATCATCATCATCATCATCATCATATTATTACTCTCTTTTATTCATGAAACATGAAACTCAAGATGCATCATCTTTTATTCAAGATGCATCATCTTTTATTCTTTAAACATGAAACTCAAGATGCATCATCATCATCATATTATTATTACTCTCTTTTATTCATGAAACATGAAACTCATTCTTAAGATGCATTATTATTATTATTGTTGTTGTTGTTGTTCTTTTATTCTTTAAACATGAAACTCAGTCAACTGAACATTCAAAAATGCATCACAAATACCATTGACTAGGGGCTAATGGTTGATAAGGGTTGCTGCCAGCGTCCTAGGGATCAACCAAGTACCTTCTTAAAATATACAATGTTCCGAGTAGCGCAGTTTTTTGCAGTTCCACTAGTGTGATTGCAGGAAGCTGCAATTTCTTGAAGTATTTTGTGAAATTCTTGGACATGGTACCAAGTGCCCCGATGACAATGGGTATCACTGTGACATGTTTCATCCACAGGTGTGTAGTTTCTGAATTAATAATAATAATAATAATAATAATAATAATAATAATAATAATGATGATGATGATGATGAAATTTGTCTGTCACCCCGCAAGGTTTCTCTCTAGGCAGCTTACAACTTCAAAATAAAACTGTATGTAAGTATATATGTATAATTGCAATAAAAATACAGCTTATAACTAAAACTTAAAAAATGGGGAGGAAGGGAGCAGATATCAGAAAGTGGGAGATAAGAGATAAGACAACCGGCTCCTAATTATTTATTAAAAAAACATTTATGTGGTTACCTAGGACCCAGATTGTTGGGGGCAACATGCTGACTCTGCAAATTGCTTAGAGACATCTGTAAAGCACTATGAAGTCTAAGTGCAATTGCTATTTAATAATATTAATATTAATATTAATAATTTTATTTATATACCGCCCTCCTCCCGAAGGACTCAGGGCGATGTACAGCCAAAATTAAAAACATAAATATACAATATCATGGTTAAAATTAATTAAAATCATTAAATAGTTTTGGCCGAATTTTAAAACCCAAAGTTAAAACTCAATTTAAAATCATTCAATTAGACAGCCCCGCCTGTCGGAACAGTAGGGTCTTGAGGGCACAGCGAAAGACCCGGAGATCAGAGATGTTACGAATATTCAGTGAATTTCAACCAACTTTGGACAGCTCCCCAGCAAAACGTTTAAAAGCACATATAAAACCACTGATAGTTGTACAGCATCAAAGAAATATTCCCCCACAGGGATTCCACCATGGTGGGCCGTTCAAGGCTGACTCTACCCCACTGAACTTACTTGCCGAGAATTCTCCGAGAAGGGATTGAATTCATCCAGGGTACCTTGGTTCGCATTGGCCAGCTGAGTGACCGAAGGATCCTGGAGGAGGAGGAGAAGAAAAGAGGAGGAGGAGGAAAAATATTAATAGGTTTCCTGGAACACGTCAGGGGTGTGTGTTTAATTTTAGATGAGGTTCTTGGACCCGTTCTGCTTACAGTCTAGACTGCCGTTTCTCAACTGCGTGGATTTTAAGGTGGCTGGGAATTCTGGGAGTGGAAGTCCACCCATTGCTAAGTTTGGAAAACATTTCCTTGAAAGCATTCAGGCATCCTGCAGACCCAGCCTTTTTACTCCAACCCAGCCTTTTAACATTTAAATTCTCAAGAAACCCACCTCCACCTCCTAACCAGGATGGCTAAGGACCAATGGTAGTTTCCTGTGCTCCCAAAGTGGGCCACTATAAACCCCTAAAACAGGCAGGTTAGTCCCAAAACAAAGAAAATTCTTGATTTCAAATTCCAAATTCGAATTCCACCAAATGTAGCCACGCCTATTTTGTAGCCCCCGACCCTCCCACTGTAAAGGGGGCTCTCGGCTACCAAAATGTTGCGTCTCCCTGTGCAAAGCTGCAACTAAACAGCCTCCATTACAGCTTAGCCCGGATAGGTGAACTTTGCAAACTCCATTTAATGGATAACTTTGGGCAAAGTCCTGGCACTCCCACCTGAAGCAATGCTGTTATGCAGCTTTGTGAATCACTCCAGGGAGGGAAACAAGTACACATGGCAGGTAAAGAGGCCTGAAAACCGGTATAGGTAGTTCTCAACTTATGACCGCAACTGAGCCTAAAATTTTAAGCTTGGTCAGTGAGACATTTGTTCAATGAATTTTGCTCCGTCTTACGACCTTTCTTGCCACGGTTGTTAAGGGAATCAATGCGGCTGTTAAATGAGTAACTCGGTTAAGTGAATCTGGTTTCCCCAAAGTCAGCAGGGAAGCCAGATTCGTTTAACGACCGCGAGACCAACTTATCAACGGCAGGGATTCGCTTAACAACCGTGGCCAGAAAGGTCGCAAAATGGGGCAAAGCTCACCTAACAGATGTCTCGCTTAGCAACAGAAATTTTGGCCTCCATTTGTGGTCGTAAGTCGAGGACTGCCTGTATTCCAAAACAGTCTGTCTTAAAGGATTATGTTTTTATTTGATGACATTTGATTTCCTGGACCAAGAAGATAACCGTTTCCTTTCGAGTAGGTTAAAGAAAAGTTTGCTTCAGACTTGAAAAAAAATTAAAAAGGGAAAGAACCCAATAATACCGAAACACGGATTTCATGACTTGAACGTACCTAAATGGAATTGTTTAAAAACAACCAATTAGACACATAGATTCTGCTTTAAGTACCCACAAAATTTAATATCGTAGGAGAAGCAGCGTCCTGAAAAAGACGTCACGGGACAGGCTGAACAAACCTGAAAGTCTGAAAGAGGGATTGGCGGCTTGACTGAAATTACGGAATCCCGGCTTTATAAAAGGGAAGAGAGGCGGCTTGCGAATTGCATCACTTTGTTTTGTCACACAGAGTTTGCCTAAGTGTGAAAGTTGGACTTCCTGAACAGGGTGTCGTTTTAATTTGTAAATGTGCCCTCGAGGCTTCACAAAGGCCTCTTGAGAGATTCTGGAGATCCAGTTCACCTTCTGGTTAATGGAGGTGTTGTCACATCTTCATATCTTTTTGTGTGTGTGTGTGTGAGAGAGAGAGAGAGAGAGAGAGAGAGGGAGGGAGGAGAGACGTGTGTGTGTGAGAAAGAGAGAGTGAGAGGGAGGGAGGGAGGGACGTGTGTGTGTGTGTGTGTGTGTGTGACAGGGAGAGAGAAAGAGAGACGTGTGTGTGAGAAAGAGAGAGAGGGGAAGGGAGGGAGAGAGGTGTGTGTGTGTGAGAGAGGGAGAAATGTGTGTGAGAGAGAGAGACGTGTGTGTGAGAGAGAGGGAAAGACATGTGAGAGAGAGAGAGAGGGAGGAGAGAGAGAGAGACGTGTGTGTGAGAGAAAGAGAGAGAGGGAGGGAGGGAGAGAGACGTGTGTGTGTAAGAGAGAGGGAGGGAGGGAGGGAAAGACATGTGTGTGTGAGAGAGAGAGACGGAGAGAGAGAGAGAGACGCGTGTGTGAGAGAGACGGAGAGGGAGAGACGTGTGTGTGTGTGAGAAAAAGAGGGAGAGGGAGGGAAGGAGGGAGAGACATGTGTGTGAAAGAGAGAGAGGGAGGGAGGGAGAGAGGTGTGTGTGTGTGAGAGAGAGGGAGAGACGTGTGTGTGTGTGAGAGAGGGAGAGAGACGTGTGTGTGTGAGAGAGAGAGGGAAAGACATGTGTGTGTGTGAGAGAGAGAGGGAGGGAGGGACGTGTGTGTGTGTGAGAAAAAGAGAGGGAGAGGGAAGGAGGGAGGGAGAGACGTGCGTGAGAGAGAGAGAGAGAGGGAAGGAGGGAGGGAGAGACGTGTGTGTGAGAAAAAGAAAGGGAGAAGGAGGGAGAGGGAGACGTCCACAACAACTATGTTGTAAAGGTCTCTACGACACCCTCTCTAAACTCTAGATCACGGGCGTCCACCCTTGGCAACTTTTAAGACTTATGGACTTCAACTCCCAGAATTCCATACTGGCTGGGGAATTCTGGGAGTTGAAGTCCAAAAAATCTTAAAGTAGCCAAGGTTGGACACCCCTGATCTAGACAGTTATCTAGCCGCGTCGTGTGCCACAGAGACTTTTCCGACGAGGCTACGGAATTATTCCGTTATGTATTACAAAACCTATGCGCAGCGGCAGAGTCAATTAGCTTCTGCTCTACAGTCCCACGCCCAGTTCAAGAAAACAAAACTTACAAGATTCCAGCTGCCAACTCCTTTGGCAAACAGAGATACCTTTCCAAGATGACCCAAATATATATATATATAAATTAAGATTCAAGTTGCCTTCTAGAAATGGGAGAAACTCCCCGAGGGGAATTACTCACCACCAAGCAGCTCTTGAGGCAACAAGGACTTTTAACAACTTCAGAATTTCAAAAGTGAGGGAGAAAGTGGCGATACAAGGAGGCGACAACACGTCAATCAACACGCCAATCAACACGCCTGTCGTGTGAAGCCAGCTAATCGGAGACATTTTGTTTTGAGACTAGACGGGCTCTGCCAGACACGGATGCAACAGCTGACTCAGCCCAACGGTTTGCTTCCTGAGGATAGGGATATCTTCTGTCAATCAGCTGATTGGCGTTGCCAAAAAAAGAGAGAGAGAGAGAGAGAGAGGAACTGTTCGGAGAAAAGGCTGTATCAGTCACTGGCGATTGTGCAAATGGAGGCATGTCTTTGGTCCGGAGTCAAGATTGCCTTTGTGGAAGCATAGAAATGGGTTGGATACAATCACACGGAGGCTGGATATTGGGTTAAGCAGCTTTCCTTGGGGTTAGAACCATAGAATCCTAAGGATGGAAGGGACCTTGGAGGTCTTCTAGTCCAGGGGTGGGCAACCCGCAGGGTTTTAAGAAAAAACTATTCTATTTTTATTCTACTCCTGCGAGTCCCTTGGACTGCAAGGCGATCCAACCGGTCAGGTCTAGAGGAGATCAACCCTTGACTGCTCTTTAGAAGGCCAGATCCTGAAGAGGAAACTCAAATCCTTTGGCCACCTAATGAGAAGGAAGGACTCCCTGGAGAAGAGCCTAATGCTGGGAACGATGGAGGGCAAAAGAAGAAGAAGGGACGGCAGAGAACGAGGTGGCTGGATGGAGTCACTGAAGCAGTCAGCATGAGCTTCAATGGACTCCAGAGGATGGTAGAAGACAGGAAGGCCTGGAGGAACGTGGTCCATGGGGTCGCGTTGGGTCAGACATGACTTTGCAACTAACAACAGCAACAAAGGAAGGCTGAGCGCCAAAGAATTGAGGCCTTTGAACTCTGGTGCTGGAGAAGACTCCTGCGAGTCCCTTGGACTGCAAGGCGATCCAACCGGTCAGTCCTAGAGGAGATCAACCCTTGACTGCTCTTTAGAAGGCCAGATCCTGAAGAGGAAACTCAAATATTTTGGCCACCTAATGAGAAGGAAGGACTCCCTGGAGAAGAGCCTAACGCTGGGAACGATGGACGGCAAAAGAAGAAGAAGGGACGGCAGAGAACGAGGGGGCTGGATGGAGTCACTGAAGCAGTCAGCATGAGCTTAAATGGACTCCAGAGGATGGTAGAGGACAGGAAGGCCTGGAGAAACGTTGTCCATGGGGTCGCGATGGGTTAGACAGGACTTCACAACTAACAACAACAACAATTCTACTTTTTGTAAAAACGGGTGTCATGAGTTACGAACTGTGCAGGAGTAACTGGGCCAAGCAATAGTTAAAACCCTACAGGCTAATCTCAGAAGTAAAACAACGTGAAAAGATTAATCTATCGTAAGGAATTCAAGCAGATCCGCGGTTCTCAAAAGAATCACTAAATGTTGTAAAAAATCAGTGCAGAAGTCCATCTCATTAGATACAATGTCATAAATCCATGTTTATTTTTTTTAAAACAAAAACTCTACCTAAAGGTTCCTAAGGGTTGTACCAAAAGTTACAAAAGTTATCTTCCTACTAGCTTGCAATCTGGAATAAAAGGCACACAGTATTTTCCGAGTGGAAATGCTACATTTCGCAAGCATGAAAATATCTGCGGGAGATAACTTTAGTTAAAAACTCCTTCCTGGGTAAAGAAAGAAAGGCAAGTTGGCTCGGGGTGCCTTAAGTTAACAATTCTCGCGTCTTGTCATGAGGAAAGAGAAGTTAATGGATTAAGAAAAGTGTTACAAAGAAATTCCGCAGGACAAAAAAATCCGACTCTTTGAAAGTGACGTTCAAACAAAAGAATATTTCCCCCCCCCCTTATAAATCAATAAAACTATAAAGTCCCAATTTCTTCACAGTTCCAAAATGGGAGTAATTTTATTTTTATCATCTCAAATCCATCAATTAAGCTAACCTAGGAATAAAAACTGATCTTGAACAGGAAATTCCTACTTCTCTTAGGTCTAAATCAATTTACAAATGAAGGGTGAAAAACTTTAAAAAATAGTATCTGGCATAGGTTCTGTTCCATTGTTAGGGACATGGAACGACAAACTTCAAAGCCTTTGCAGCAGAAATCCATGCTTTTCAGCAGAATTGTGAGGAAAGCAACAGGAAATGTGTCTTAAAAGCTGTAAAATCAAATAAAAGAGCAGATGAATTCTGTGCCAGGTTACGAATAGTAACACTCCTTACACAGCAGAGTTTCAACGACTAGTCATATTTAGCAAACAGTATATACCTTGCAGGGTATATACTGGACAGGGATGCGGTGGCTGAGTGCCTAAGATGCTGAGCTTGTTGATGGAAAGGTTGGCAGTTCAGAGGTTCAAATCCCTAGTGCCGCGTAACGGGGTGAGCTCCCATTACTTGTCCCAGCTTCTGCCAACCTAGCAGTTCGAAAGCACGTAAAAAATGCAAGTAGAAAAATAGGGGCCACCTTTGGTGGGAAGGGAATAGTGTTCCGTGCGCTTTTGGCGTTGAGTCATGCCGGCCACATGACCACGGAGACGTCTTCTTCGGACAGCGCTGGCTCTTCGGCTTTGAAAAGGAGATGAGCATTGCCCCCTAAAGTCGGGAACGACTAGCACGTATGTGCGAGGGGAACCTTTACCTTATATACCTTGCATTTAAAAGATCACAAGCAGGGCATTAAAAAAAGACGAAGAAAACCCTTTGAAAAATAGGGCAGGAAATATCTTAGCAAAGTGGAACAAAACAGCAGCAAAATCAATCCCAAAACCTAGCTGATATTTCAAGTAAATTATGTAACTGTGGCTCTGCTCATACATAGCTTGCTGAACAGTTATTTACCCCGATCAATTTATTCCGATCAGAGAACCTCAAACAGCAGATTAGAAACCTCCTCTAGAACCCTTGTTTAGTATCCACCTCCGAGAACAAATATCATTTTTGTGTTGTTATATTATCTATATATCCAACAGACGAAACAGCATTCCCATACTGGAGAAATGAGCGACTTGAAACAAATCTGAAACTAATCTATTGAGCGCAATCATGTTTACATTTTGTCTTTTTTTTCCCTCCTCTCCATCTTTCGTCAAGAAGTTCAAGACAGGCAGTGCAATTAAAAAACCCCTTCGCACTACACTGCCGTATGCTAAAATAGAGATGGGTAGTTTGTGGCTTACAGTAATACAGGAACCAAGCTATCATGTTAAAGCACAAAATGGCTTATTTGCTCCGGCATATTACGTGAACAGAAGCAGCTATGTTTTTATTCCTAGGGCCAGTGTTAAGCATTCATCCAGCTAAAAGATAGGAATCCGAGAAAGAAAGCAGGAAACTGTCTAAATTAGCTGAAACCGCAACGAATGTTAGGGACAAACACATTTCTTAATTAAATTGAGCTGACTGCAATTTATTTATATGTTACATTTGTATCTCACATAGAGAGTCTGGGCTGCATACGTAACAAAAACACGTATGTAAAAAAAACATTTAAACCTCACTTTAAAAAGACAAATGATAGCAAACGTACAGTGTGCAATAGAGAACCAACATACAACTGTCTCACTAGCTCCTCATTATCACGGGATCCCCAAATTTGTTGACAAATGTTTCCAGGACATTCTGAAAAGTTAACGGGGTTGGGACCAGCCTCACCATGGGGGAAAAATGAAGTTTCAACAGGGCGGGGATTATAAAAGAAAATGCTTTCCTCCTGGTTTTTAAATATCACAATATCCTTAAATGCTGTTTTGGCTGTAAGAGACTGACATGGCTACTTCTTTGGAGAAATCAATGAAGGCAGAGGTCTTCCAAACTTGGCAACTTGGACTTTAATAATTTTCAGAATTCTTCAACCAGTTATGTTGGTTGAGGAATTCTGGGAATTGAAGAACCACAAGTTGTAAAAGTGGCCAAGACTGGAGTCCCCTCCCTGGGTTAAGGAAACAGATTGTCACACTTTCCCTAGAAATCAGATTCACTAAAAAAAAATATCAGCATATTCAACTTTTCCTGGAGGGGGGGGAGGGGAAAGAGTTATTTATTTCCTTGTATTTGTTTATGAAATGCATAAGCCAACCCTCTCACTGTTGAGCAACTTTGAGTGGCTTACAACATCATAAATCATGTTTTTCGCCTATACTTTGGGCCCTGTGGATGGATGGCAGCTTGGGAGTTTCCTGGGCAGGAAGGCTAAACCCAGCTGACCTTTGTTCGGCCACTATTCCTAGGGCTAATTTTTCCTCGACAAGGAAAAAAAAGCGAAATCTAAATGAGAAGCAGCTCAAAAGCTGAAAAAGGGGGCCACAAAATTGGGGTGCCAACTGGCAAAAAAACCACCCACCTCTCCTCCAACCCAGACCCACGAATCCCTCTGGAACCCCTTTCCCTCCACCCTGCCCCCCGCCCCAGAATTCCCAGCCCAGGGGCGGTTGGGAGTGATGGGAGTTGTAGTCCTAACCTACTTATGTGGCGGGGAGTACCAGGTGGGGCAGTGGTGAAATCCAAATTTTTTTACTACTGGTTCGGTGGGCGTGGCTCGGTGTGCATGGTGGGCATGGCTTGGTAGGCGTGGCAGGGGAAGGATACTGCAAAATCTCCATTCCCCCCCACTCCAGGGAAAGGATAATGCAAAATCTCCATTCCCACCCTACTCTGGGGCAAGCCAGGGGTGGTATTTGCCAGTTCTCCAAACTACTCAGTTTCCGCTACTGGTTCTCCAGAACCTGTCAGAACCTGCTGGATTTCACCCCTGAGGTGGGGCATGGGGTGGGTGCCTGGACAGGACTGGGAAACCAAAGGCTCAGATCCACCCTGTCCCAGAATTCCCAGCCCAGGGGCGGTTGGGAACGATCGGAGTTGTAGTCCTAACCTACTTATAGGGCGGGGACTACCAGCTGGGGCATGGGGTAGGTGCCTGGGCAGGACAGGGAAACCAAAGGCTCAGATCCAGGCTAAACCCAGCTGACCTTTGCTGGGCCACTATTCCTAGGACTAATTTTTCCTCTAACAGGAAAAAAAACCCAACCCAAATCTAAATGAGAAACAGCTCAGAAGCCGAAAAAGGGGGCCCACAAAATTGGGGGTGCCAGCTGGCAAAAAAACCCCGCCACCCCCTCCTCCAACCCAGACTCACGAATCCCTCTGGAACCCCTTCCCCCCCCACCCCCCCCCCTGCCCCCCCCCCCCCCCAGAATTCCCAGCCCAGGGGCGGTTGGGAACGATGGGAGTTGTAGTCCTAGCCTACTTTTGGGGCTGGGAGTACCAGGTGGGGCATGGGGAGGGGGGGGTGCCTTGCCAGAAGACCCCATTGGGGGGGGGTGTCAGGTTACTTCATTGCCCCCTCCCATGAAGTATATATGCCTCCCCTCCCCCGCCCACAATTAAAGTGAGGCCTACCCCCTCCCCCCCAAAGTGGGGGGAGGGGGAGAGACCCGAAGCTCGGCCTGGCTTACCTGGAAGGGATTGACCTCCACGGGATCCGCGAAGGGGTTCGCGTCGAAGGCCGACATGGCCGCTTTTTTTTAACTTGCCCGCCACCCGGGACGAAGACCCCCCGCCGCACCTGTTCTCACCCGGGTCCGCTTCCTGCGCCCCCTTAGAAACCGCACACACTTCCGGGAGGAAGGCTGGTTTCCGCCCTCCCCTTTCGCGTCGGGCTCCGGCTGCGCCTGCGCAGTGCCGCCCCCGGAGGGCGAGGCGCCGTTCTTTTGGCACGTGACAAAAAGCAAGCTCCGCCCCTCCACCTTGTGATCTCATCGGCAGGCCGGAGGAAGAGGAGGAGCGAGGTGAGAAGGGCGCGCATGCGTAAAACGTCTTTTTTTTTTTTTTTTTAAATGTGTGTTTTGGTCTTCGCTCGCCTTCCGGGGGGCGTACACAAGGAAGATGGAGTTCCTGAAGTTGGGGTTGGGGGGGGGGGGCGGGGAAAGAAGATACACCGTGAGCATGCGCGGGCTTTGTGAGCATGCGCACGGCAGAAAGGTCGAGTTCGGTACCGTATTCTATGGTGTAATAGCTCGGGTGTTTTAGATTTGTTTAAATGTGGAGCTCTGATTGAATTATATTCGTCCCTAAATCGTATTGTTCCAATTACTTTAAAAAAACAATTCTGTGTTTAAATAATAAAAATAATAAATTTTAAAGTAGCCCAAATTGACCAACATTGGGGTAGCTTATGTACTGATATATGTTTCTGTATCATCTACTACGGTTTTTATGTATAAAATTATGTTATACATAAATTTAATTCATCTGTTTCTGAATTAGAATTCTATATTATGTATATATTTCTATCTCATGTCTATTTCTACTACACTTTATGTATAAAATTATACATACATAAATACATACATACATAAATATATGTATTTATGAATGAAAATTCTATATTTGATGTATATATTTCTATATCATTTCTGCTTTTAGGTATAAAATCATACATACATTTATGAATGAAAATTCTATATTATGTATATATTTCTATATCATGTCAGTTTTACACATTTTCAAACAAAGGATTCTGTTAACTCAGCAGTTTATATGGTCATATACATTTGTTATATTTAATTGACATTTCCTAATTACTAAAGTTTCATATTATTCTTGCAAACAATCATAATTCTGTAAATTACTGGAGCATAGATTCAAATCATCTTCTGACGATAGACAACTTTTAACTCATGTGGATCCCCTTGACCTAACCAACCTTTAAGCTGTATGTCATTAGAATGTTCCCTCTTCTGACAACTTAGAGGCCTCCTAGAGGAACCAAAAGGATTTTGGCTGAGTTTGTACTTTTTCCAACCGGATGCATTGCTTTTTAGAACAGAGTGAATAGAAAGTTATCCAGTGGTCATCTATCAGAGCCCGCTTCATTTACATTATGTATATATTTCTATCTCATGTTTCTGCTTTTATGTATAAAATTATACATACATGTATTTATGAATGAAAATTCTATATTATGTATATATTTCTACATCATGTCTGTTTCTACATTTTTTATGTATAAAAGTATGTTATACATAAATTTAATTCATCTGTTTCTGAATGAAAATTCTTCTATATCATGTCTTATGTTTCTGCTACGTTTTTTACGTATAAAATTATGTCATACATAAATATATGTATTTATGAATGAAAATTCTCTATTTGATGTATATATTTCTCCTACGCAGCAGGAAAACATAACGACAACCTTGGCTTGGGAGGGGGGGAAAGCGGTTTATGGGAACTGTAGTCCAAATCAAGGCAAGGGCAGCTGCACCGGTGGAACCTCTGCCTGTCTCTTTTGCTTTTGTGTTTCAAAGGATTCGAAAGATTTCTTGGGGGAAAAAAAAGATCCCGGGCGGGCTCCGAAGTCACTCCGGTTCCGCCATCGCCCTCCTGCTCCCCTTTGCTCCAAGATTGGCAGCGATTCTACCGGGAGCCGCTCCGGATTGAAGAACTACATTACCCAGCTTGCTCAGCCTGGTTTGCCTGGAAGAGGCGTGGCGGCTCTTTCACTCTTTTTTCTTTTTTTTTTCTTCTTCTTTTTTTTCGCTTCGGCTTGGGGAAAAAAAAATAAAATAAAAGGGATCGGGACTCGGTCGGAAATCCCCCAGCATGGCTAACGAATTAAGAGGTGAGTTGCAAAAGCGAAGCGAAGCCGATGCCGCCGCCGGCCAGGTTGCAAAAAAAAATAAATAAATGCAAAATTGCAAAATAATTGCACAAAAAAAAAAAAGGCGAGCCGGGATTGCATTGCAAAAAAAAATAAATGAATGAATGAATCCCGGCTGGGAAAGAGCTGCCAGAGGTTGCAAGCTGGAGGGAGGGCGGTGGGGAGGGGGGTGTCTTGAGGAGGGGGGGGTCTTGGTGGGGGTGTGGAGAAGAAGAAGAAGAAGCCCCCCTTTGCACACCCCCCGGTGGAAAAATCCTGATGCAAAACATGCCTCCGTTGGACTTTTCGCCTGCCGAAGCGTTGTATACTGTGGTGGGTGATGGGCTGGGAGGGGAATTTGGGGCGGTGGGCACGCTCCTGCCTGCAAATCGGACGGAAAAGCGTTAATGGCCGAGCAGATGCTGCATTCAGGGTCCTTTGCCTGCCTAAGCGCTGTATACTTTGGTGGGGGTGGGAGTGATGGGCTGGGGGGGTTGCATTTGAGGCGGTGGGCGCGCTTCTGCCTGTAAACTGGGTCAACTGAGGCCAACAATCCCCCCTCCCCCAGTGGAAGAGCCCTGATGCCTTAGTAGATGCTGCATTCAGGGTCTCTTGCTTGCCTAAGCGCTGTATATACTTTGATGGGGGTGGGGTGAGGGATGGGCTGGGGGAGTTGAATTTGAGGCGGTGGGCACGCTTCTGCTGTAAAGGGTGGGCCAAAAAGCCCTGGAGAGCCTTAGCAGATGCTGCATTCAGGGTCCTTTGCCTGCCTAAGCGCTGTATATACTTTTGAGGGGTGGTGGGGGAAGGGCTGGGAGGGGAATTTGGGGCGGTGGGCGCGCTTCTGCCTGTAAACTGGGGTGGAAGAGCCCTGAGGCCTTAAGCAGATGCTGCACTCAGGGTCCTTTGCCTGCCTAAGCGCTGTATACTTTGGTGGGGGTGGGTGGGAGTGATGGGCTGGGGGGGTTGCATTTGAGGCGGTGGGGCGCGCTTCTGCCTGTAAACTGGGTGGAAAAGCCCTGAGGCCAACAATCCCCCCTCCCCCGGTGGAAAAGCCCTGAGGCCTTAGCAGATGCTGCATTCAGGGTCTCTTGCCTGCCTAAGCGCTGTATACTTTGGTGGGGGTGGCGGGTGATGGGTTGGGGGGGTTGCATTTGAGGCGGTGGGCGCGCTTCTGCCTGTAAACTGGGTGGAAAAGCCAACAATCCCCCCCCCCGTGGAAGAGCCCTGAATCCCCAGCAGATGCTACTCTGGTGGGTGGTGGTGGGTGATAGGTTGGGAGGGGAATTTGGGGCGGTGGGCACGCTCCTGCCTGCCAACCGGATGGAAAAGCGCTGATGGCCAAGCAGACGCTGCATTCAGGGTCCTTTGCCCGCCTAAGCGCTGTATACTCTGGGGAGAGTGTAGAGGGGGTGCTGGCTGGGTAGGTGGGTGGGTGGGCTGCTCAACTTCAGGGGGGACTTGGGGGGCAGTGGGCATGCTCTGGCCGAGAATAATCCCCCCCCCCACTGGGCAGAAGAGCGCTGATGCTGGAGTTCATGGACTTTCAACTGTCTTAAGCGCTTTATACTCTGGTGGGGGGTGGGTGGGCCTTGGGGGTGGGGGCTGTCTGGATAGATAGGGGGAGGAATTGGGGGACATGGGGGTGCTCCTGTTGTGGACAACTCCCTTGGAGCCCTGGAGAAGAGCGCTGATGCCCAGTTGGTGTTGTATTCATGGCCCTTTGCCTGCCTAAGTGCTGTATACAGGTAGTCCTCGACTTAACAGCGGTTCGTTTAGTGACCACGGTTGAAGTTCAACCGGCACTGAAAAAAAAGCGACTTATGGCCGTTTTTCACACTTAGCAACCGATGCAGCATCCCTGCGGGTCACTTGGCAACTGACTCACATTGATGACAGTCGCGGTGTCCCGAGGTCACCTGATCCCCTCTTGCGCCCTTCCGACGAGCAACCGTCAACGGGGAAGCCAGATTCACTTAACAACCGTGCTGCTAACTTAACAACTGCCGTGATTCTAAAATGATCTTAGTTGGATGTTTTAAACTTGGCCGAATGATTGAATTATTTTAATAAGCTTTTAATTTTTGTTGTACCTTGTTTTTACATGGCTGTTCACCGCTCTGAGTCCCTCGGGAAAAGGGTGGTATACAAATATAATAAACTATAACTATTCGCAGAGGTCTTCAAACTTGGCAGCTTTAAGACTTGTGGACTTCAACTCTCAGAATTCTCCAGCCAGCATAGCTGGCTGGAGAATTCTGAGAGTTAAAGTCCACAAGTCTTAAAGCTGCCAAGTTTGAAGACCTCTGGCTTAGTCACTGTGACAAGAAAAGTCTTAAAATCGGACTTAAAACTCACTTAACAACTGTTTTGCTTAGCGACGGAATTTTGGGGGGCTCCATTGTGGTCGTAAATCAAGGACTACTACCTGTTTTCAGGTGAGGTGGGGAGGGGGGGGGGTTTAGCAATGCTGTCTGAATCCGACCTTGAGTTTTATGGAGCTTCCCCTCTCCTCCCAGGCGGAGAGTTACAGTACCGGATGCCCAGTTGGGGTGGGGTGGGAAATCTGCTTTTCAGGCCCTGCCCCCCCCTCTCCGGTGTCTGCTCAGAAGGGAATCTCTAACCTGCCTACCTGGCTGCCAATTTAGAGAGGCATCCTGCGGTCACGTGGTTTTCTTGCCTCCCCCCCCTCCGGCCTTATGGCAGGGAGCGTATGGGCCAGATCTAAAATTCAAAAAGCGAGGGAGATCAGACGAGGATATTGGGTGGAAGGTACCTGGAGACCCCCAACCCCCTCTTTGCAGTAATCCACAGTTCTTGCCAAACTCACCTGAGTTTGGAAACTAAGCTGCATTAAGCCTGTGTGTGGGTGGGTGGGGGGAGATTATATTCCAAATTATCCTGGGAAATAGGGTGTTTTTTTTTTAAAAAAAACAAAAATCTAGAGAAAACTCAACGTGACCATTTTCAATCACAGCATCTTGGCTTGAAGGAGCCTTCGGGGGGGGGGGGGGACT